GAAAGTCGCGACTTACATGGACAAAACCTGAGTGGCGTGAGGTGCATTACACATTCTGTTACATACGACTTTTTTAAGTATACACTGAACTTCGCTAAGCGAAGGGATCAAGTTCGGGTGAGTTGTGAAACGGACATCTTGAGATCCAGGTGAATATTCTTTACTCTAGTCTTTCCATTTGCTAAATTTTCTCCGTTGTATCTTAATTTGAATAAAAATGTTCAAATCATTTGTGATCTCCATACTACATATTCTTCTTAACCGTCAAAATTCGAACTTCATAAGCCCAAATGAATTCGAATTGAAGCGACATATCTACAGGCAAGTAGATCCGAGCTTGATTATGGTGTTCTTGAGGTCCCGACATTTGTCGGCAACACTTGAGCGTGAAAAAATTATTATGCTTGTAATGCTGGCAACCTGCGCGCAAAATGGCCGTGGAGTTTTGAGACTCCTGGCAGGGCCCGGCACGAGGTGGGCAAACGGGGTTTTCCAACACGAATTCCCCTTTGATCCCAATAAATTTTACGAATACCCCCTTGAGCCCAAAAATGACGTTTTGTGCTTGTGCGACGAGATTATCGGCCACACTTCGCCTAAAAGCGCTCAAAAGCGCCCAAATTGCTCAAATTCCTCAAATTACTCCTCAGCTGGATCAAGATAGAAAACAGGAAGAAAAATATGCAAGAAAATGATTAAGGAATGAGAAAATATCAAAGAAACGCAGTCATAGGAATGAGAGACGCCGCTCCCGCGCGTATCGATTGACTGGAGCGCGCTTTCCATCTTAAAAAGCTAGGCTGCTGATGCGATTTTGGGCTCTAACAAGGTCAAGAGGAGGAGTTTCGGAACCAAAATTTCACCATGTAGTAAACTTTAGGTGTACAACAGATTTATGTAAAAATTTTGAAAAAATTATGTGAACTGAGAGTTTTGCCGACCTCAGGTGGGAATTAGGTCGGCAAATGCCGACCTAATTTGGAAATTAGTTAAGGAAACTTTTCATTCACATAAGTTTTTCATAATATTTCATACTTAGTTACTTAGTCCCACTGCGCATACACACACCGAATCCCGCGCGATTTCGTTACCTCTGCGTTGCAAACGAGCCATTTTTCCATTTCTTTGGTAGCGCAAAATTTTCAGAAAAAAGTTTGCCACAACCTTCAGTCACATAATTTTTCAATGAAACTCCTCAGTTAAGCCCTGCAAGTCCGTGTGCATGTACTTACCAAGTTTCATGCCATATCGTTCATCTGCGCGTTCCAAACGAGCCGTTTGAATTCACATCTTCATTTACCAGTTTTGCGAAATTCTCGGAAAAAATGCTAATTACTCGTTCCGTTCACATAAGTTTTTCATAAATTTTCATACTATGTTTCCACTAGCCTCTCTCCGTTCGCATACAAAATTTGGTACCATATCGTTACACATACATTGAAACTAATCATGCATGCTGTTACAAATAGCATCGCTTGGGCGACGTCGCGCGTGCGGCAATTAGCGACGGCGCGGTTTGACGCGCGCGAACTCCAGTGTTCGCCTGTTGAGGCACATAACATGTCAAGATAAGTAGCGAGCATGAACTACCAATTTTTTTCCGGGGCTCCGCCCCGGACCCCGCAAAAACGATTTCCCCTTTGCTTTTTGGCCCCAAAACGATTTCCAGCTTGTCATTTGCCGACCTCGTGCCGGGCCCTGACTCCTGGTAACCATTTCCAAGCTCAAAAAATGGTATGTTGCTTTCCTGAAATCGAGCTGAATTCATTTTCAAATTTCAGCGATGATTTTGAGATAAGCTCAAGCTACTGTATTGAATGTAACAGTTTCCCTGTAACGTGCATATGGGCGCCTTAATGGCTAGCCCTTCATCAGTGTGTCCTTTGTACAATACTTTAAAGAATTCTTTGATTGATAAGGCTGTCACTGAGAAATGTAACGCGAACCATGCGCGTCAATTCGAATATCTCGAAACTCAGGGCCGTGTCTTGAACTGAAAACCACGACGCAACATAACTGATGTTCTCTGCTCTTCGAAAACCGGTTAAATGCAAACGATGGTGTGGGACTGACAGAGGTGGACATCAGCGTTTACAAAATATGGGCAAATAAAGTGTCAACATTCGACGCGGCTGTGATTTAATGCGGGAATGCGGTAGTGCTGTCAGTTATGCCAGTCGGTGATGAGAACTTGTTTGTTTTGATTATGAAAGGTCACTGGGGACAGACGATTGCCGTTACTATTTGGTTGTTGAGGTTTACTTCTTCTTACTAGGTATCTAGAAAGACATACAGCGGGCTGAAATCTCACGCTAATGCCATCATTGCCGTACTACAGAAAATCCTGCACTTTTTAAAATTCACTGACTTTCAAAAACCTTTCTAAGAATTTGGATTGAAAAATTCTCAGCGCTAAAAGTTCGTGAAGAAAGTCGAAAAATATCATACTATAGTTGTGAAGATAATTTAGGCACGCCGTCACTGGATAAGGTAGGGCTCAGAGGTGCAGGTCGGACTCAGGAAACTTTGGATAACATTGTAGATATACCTAATATTTTCTAGAAACACATACCTTCATGTTAAAAACCTAAATTTTTTTAATTCGAAATTGCTTGAACAGTAACTCATGAAATGCTTGCATTTTTACCAAAATCTTAACAAGGAGCTACTGACAAGTTTTACCCATTCTGACAAAATGCGGTGAAAAGCTTACACAGAAACATCCAGAATATCAAGGAACGAAAAGTAGATACAATAGAAGATAATAAGTTTCCGAGACGAGATATTTGCATGCAAAGATTCGAAAATTTCAGACAATGTAATGATAGGATACCCATTAACCAGAACTTATTTGGGTCAAGAATTTTGGTGCCCTTTAAAATTTAGGTTATCTAGGGAAAAATCAGCGCACGAAAGGAATGTCAACTATGCTGATTACATGATTATTTTTAAACAGCGTTGCGAAAGACTATGTTATTGGTTTAACTCTGTTTGATCTTCTTCTCTGATACTTGTGAGAAAAATCGAAAACACCTAAAGTATCCAGCTTATGCAAACAAAAAGCTCGATAACGATGAGCTGTTTGGACAAGATCATTTCGTTCGCAAACGATCTGATTCTATTCACTTACCAGGAATGCTTGATTCGCTGTCACATCGAATCATGTCGTTCACAAATCACACATTCTTCGCCTGCGTTTCTGCACGCTACGGGCTACAACATGCGATTCTTTCGCCTCTGTCGAGTGTTTATCAAATGCTGTTTGTTTGTAGGCAATTACCACCCGATGGGTAAATCGAGATGCAAGTGGTAAAATGATAATGGGGGGGGTGTTAGAAATAAGATGCTTCTATATTTTTTATGCAGGTTATTTTGACGTGCAAGCTGATGATTTCTAGCTGAGAAAGATCTCTTCCACCACATTTCTTCGGTCAATGCTTACTTGCGCAAATGCTTACTGTAGGAATACTATCCAAAGCAATTTTCCACGGAGACGGCCTTTTCGCACGCTAGCAGTTAACTACATGACTTTTCTTGAATGTCGCGCACACGTCAAATCTTTGCTTATCCTCCTCTGGCTTGTACGAGAGTCGTCGCACGTTGTCGCCAGTTGTCGCGCGTTGCCGCGGGTTGTCGCGGGTTGTCGCGGGTTGTCGCAGGTTGTCGCTATAGACGGTGGTCTTATGTGGAAATTTTCTCCTGCGTTACTGTCCTGCAAAATAGCACACCTTTTTTCCGCCTCCAAAATTCGCCAAAAGTGGTATTTTGCAGAAAAATATTTTTTTGCAACTTGTGTCTCAGAAGTACAAGTTTTTGCTCGCATTTCGTGACTAGTTTCAGTTTTACATTGCATATTGAATCGTATCAATGTGTGTTTCATGTGGTCTTCGGCGAATTCTTCGTTGTAATTTTGGATTACACAGTCTGATGCAAGAAAAACGTGTAGGGAAAGAAGTATTTGCATAAGCTTCATGATATTAGTCATATTCTGGTTTTTTAGGTTTGTAATGCATTGATGATAATGATGCATCAAACAGCAACCTAGAGAACAGACAGTATAATAATTTAGTCAAGCAGATTTAGCCCAGCAATAAATAACTACTAATAATTACATTTACTAGAAGTTATGAAAAGTTCGAATAACAAGCGTTTCTTATCTTTTTTTTGCAGATTGGAAGGTGAGAAATCCATCTATCATTTTGCTGAAACAACCGATTTGATTGATTAGCGAAGCAATGCGAGCGAAAACGTCTGGAAGCTGAATAGAGTAAATCCAAAAGAGAAACTCTTTATCTTTACAAATCGTTCACTATTTTGCTGACACCAGGATCTGCTAATTTACTAGAACGTGGAGCTTGGCCGGAACTTTAGAAGAGCTTCCAAAGGAGCCTTATTTTGACTGATGTTTGGGGTTAAAAAAATCATTTTTGTGGAGTAAAATTATCAAGAATTGCACTGCAGCCTCAAAAGTTGGAACCACTTGAACCAATCTGCGACATTTGGGTGTGGACATATTGACTTTGCACCGGCTGACTAGGTTTTTTGCAGTTCCAGATTCCAAGCATCTCGTGACTGCTTGCGCATTAGGACTTCTGTGTTCTAATTCTGATAAAAATTAACGATGGAATGCGTGCAATGTCCCTTTGCCTTGTTGTTTCCTAGACAATGACAGGTGTGGCAGCGAAAACCAGCCTAGACGCGCGACGACCCGCGGAACCACCCAGTTGTGTAGCAGCGATGCTAGTTACGAACTAGGGGGTCAGAAAAGGGAAGGGTTTGAGGGTAAAGGAATGTAGAACTTTGATAGGTCTGTTATTTAAAGAATATGGTAAAAAGACAACAAAGAGCATAGTAATAAACAAGAAACAACGGTAGCGCGTGGGCTGGAATCACAGAAGAGAACGGGACGTTTTGAGCCGCTAGTTTTCTTTTTGGGATACGTGATACGACACCTGGAAATATAAATTACTTCTAGTTTATCACGAGTTGACCAAAAAAGCTTACCTATTATTACCTTGACTAGGAGCGACAGTGGTGGGACGAGGCCTAGTGACTATCTTCTTCCTCAACGAATTTCTGATCGGCTTCGTCGTCGGACTTGCCGTCGTTGTCGTAGACGTCGTCGTTGTGGTTGTGGTAGAAGTGGTGGTAGAACTTGTAGTAACCATGGGTAAACTCCTGTGAGGGCTCGCTGGCCGAGCAGTAACCCTTATCACTGGTAATCTTGTCGGTGGTGGAGGTAGTACTACATCCATCTCCATCGGATCACATGTTTCTTTGTCTTAAATAAATGTAACATCTGCGCTCTGCAAGAAGATTTCTTATCAAAATAGTTCTGCCTAGTTGATATAGGCATCACGGAAGATGAAAAACACAAATTTCTCAGAGTTACTGCAAGATATAATTCCACATGAGTTCTTGTTACCTCCTTTCCTCATATTATACTTTTTTTGAACCAAGACCCTCGAATTCGTAAGATTATAGACAAGGTAAGGAAACGAAACTTGCTATTTTGGACCACCCTCGCGGACTGTTGATTTTTTTGCGACGCTGTTGCATGTCGTCTGAGGACCAGTAGTCCGCAGAAGCAGCCCACAATGACAAAGTTGTTTTCCCTACCCAAACTGATCTAAAGCAGACAAAAAAGCTATCTATCATAGAAGACAAGATCAAGCCATCAAAAATTTAAACATTATCATTACCAGTAAAAGCCATTTACAAAAACAGAGCAGAAAGTCGCGATTTGTCAACCGTTGCATCTGTTTAGTCTTCTAGAAAATTAATTTATATTTGTTTACTGATATATGCGGATGATTTTACGAATTTTATGACATGGAAAAAGGCTGCATCCTTCTTTATCCTTATATTTGTGAAGCACATTTGCAATGTAATTCGCCTTTTTTATATATTTAGAGCTGAAAAATTCTAAAAAGTTTGGGCAAATGTCATTTCTCCGCAAACGCGTCTCAGGACATACATTATTGAAGAGTATACAAGTCAACTAAGCTCCCAAACTTGTCTCAATCTTTTTTGAGTTAGGATGCATGATACTATATGGTGTCCCAAAAAATGTGAACACTGCTTAACACTAATAACTCTCTTTATGATTCTGTAGGGCGAGGTTCAACTTAGATTTGTAGTATAGACCAAGTCATCAGTCGCTCTTCATTACTGAAGGACTACGGTTTGCACTTCCAGCATAAAGCGCTTCTATGGAGTAGGTCTTTTGTTAGAAATTCCAAAAAAAATCTGGAAATCTGTGCGGTAAGGATTTCAGGCGTGCTGATTCCAGTACACAATTCTCACCAGTTTCTCAAGCTCTTTTAGTAGCGTAATCACACTTCTGACGGACACTGGAAAAACAGATGTTACCAAACCTGAAATAACCTATGAAAAGCATTACAGTGAAGCTCAAAATCCATATTTAGAATCAGCGACTTCGATTAGTCCATTATAAGAGTTTTGGGCATGTTTGGTTTTCTTTCTGATTCAGAAATCGTTTTCATTTTCCCAAAATCTTTCTCACAGTTCATACCGTAATCCTACAGTAATAAAGAGTGATTGTTGACTTGGTCCATTTCGTAATCTGAGTTGAACCTCGCTCTACAGAAGAAACCTCAAGCTTGGTAAAAGATGCGAGAGCAAGAGAGTTATTAACGCGATTAAACAGTGTTAGCATTTTTGAGAAACCCTATATTTGATTGATTATTTATTACCTTATTATAAAATTCACAGAATTTATCGGTGAATGACTGGATCCCATCAACCTACGTAAGCTCGACCACTACACGTGTTGACTAGGTCAGCCCATTAATTATTACAACATGTACTTGACCCTTAGCAGCGAGTGGACTATAAATCTCGTCGTTAATCACCGCGAACATCTCTGCTACGTTACATTGTTTTTTGCCTCTCGTAGTGGCCGCTAAAAAATTTGTTCGGTGAAAAAAATGAGCCAGCAATCAGCGAGGTAGCGATTTGAGCGTACAGAGTCAATTGCAAGCAAACTTAGAAGCCGTTTTAAAATTAAAGTTAGAGAATGTCACGGGTAAAAAGTCAGGCAAATTTTCGTCTCTATTTTTGTGTATCTTCTCGTCATTTTCAACATCGAACAAACAAACCTGGAGGTACAAAGCAGCAACAGACCGTGTGGCCCTCGTAGTAGTAGCATCTGAAAGATATAAGCATAATGATTTTTAAGCTTCTCTTTCAGCGTCCACCAGTGGCGGTCCCAGGATTTTGTTCGGGGGGTGGGGGGGGGGGGGGACAAAGATTTTTCGAATCAAGGTGCAACAGCAGCGCACTCCGAAAAATTTCTTGGGATGCTTCTCAAGATTTTCGAGTGCTAATTCCGAAATTATGGAGAAGGGCATAGCAAAAAGTTCCCGAAACTCCTTTACGATGCTAGATTTTAAGTTGGGAGATTTCAAAACTTTTTGATTATCTACAGCTATAAAAAGAATACTGCAAATTTTACAACTCCGAGGAGAAAAAGCGAGCCCCCCCCCCTCGCTTTCCCTCCCCGCCACTGCCTTCTCCATCCTTTCTGCCCTCACGCCATACATATTTTTCAGGTATAATGAGGCCATAAACTATATGTGCAACCTTCCGCCAAAGATTTCCATTTTTTCGCTTGCGTAAAAGCATTACTACAAAGCTCGAAAATAGAAAGGTTGTAAAATTTCACTTGAGGAACAAGCGAATTTTTTATCAGAAAAAGCAAAGCGTACCTGTCTCCATCTTTCTTCTGATGTACTAGCAGACAGTACCTATAGAGCTCATCATTCAAGTGTCTATATACACAGTGGGTTTCATCCTCCCCATCATCATCTAGGAGTCCAGACGATAACTTCTTCTAATATATGAAAGTTCCACTTACGATATTCGTCGTCTGAGGGATTCGCCGGCTTCTTCGTAGTTGTGGTAGTAGATGAAGGTGTGGAAGCCACCAGTTTTGTGTTATTATTTGCTGCGGTATTTAAGGATGTGGTAATCAGAACTTTCGCTTTTGGCTTCTTTATGATGGTACGAATTGGCCAAGATGTTGTTGGAAGTGGAGGAACACGTGTGACAAACTTGAAGCTAGAGTCATCTTGGTCTTCGTCAAAGTCGAAAAGCAGCTAGAAAGTAGCAATTTGGTCTAAAAAAATCCCCACAAGTCAAGCCAGCTAACCTCTACAGCATCGTAATCGTCAACTTGTCTTCTGATTAAGCGATGCCTCGTTTCTTGATGGGTTTCACCTGCATCGTCCTCGTCATCCTCGTATTCTTCTTCAGAATCCGAGGTGAGAGAGTGGTAGAGGCACCCGACCGCCTCTGCTCCGCAAATTTCAGACTGGCAGTGGACCGGAGGTGCTGAGACGGAGGCTGAAACTTGGAAGGAATGTTCAAGAAATGGAGTTACAACATCTGTCAGAATTTCTTATCTTTGTCAATTTTGCCCTTTTTTGGTCTTATTAACCCACTCAAACAACCCAGAACATGAGAAATTTATATAAAAATATTGAAAGTAAAAGGAGAAGTTTTGTATAAATTCATCAACTTACGCAATCTATCCTTTTCAGATGTGACCAGTTTCTGCAACGTATGATGAAATAACGAGCAGCAAAAGCGAATATTTCGTGTTGTCAACTCTTCCAGCTGAAAATTTCCGCTTACGAATGGTGTCATCTTTTCTCTGCTTTTCGTCAAAGTATTTTTTCTTATTTGGTGGGCCAAATTAGGACTAACAATAAGTCATATCAATTGTGACTACTAAAGTGCGCTTTATTACTGTAAGATAAGGAGTGAAATAAGTTTAGCTTTTCTTTAATTGAAATCTCGAGCACATTTGTTCAAATAACTTATTGCCTATTCGCTGATTCAAGTTAAGAATCTTCAAGAGATCCTTCATGGATAAATTGCTTTTCTTCTTTAAGTGAGCGAGCGCGGAATTGCCAGGTTCTCAACCTTTTTCGAAAAGCTCTTTCAGTATTTCATATTGATAGACGTGGACATTTTTCGGAATCTTTTTCTTTTCGAGGGCATTTTGTCATATTTAAAGACAAGTGCAGATGTTCTTTGACAAGTATTTCCAGAAATCTCATCGTTTATATGCCAGTGCACTATTTCCTCGATCGGACCTACCTTGATATGGTAGTGAAGAATTAGGTACTTTAGAAATGCCGAGTTCAATATATCCAGATTCAAAGACGAGCATTGTGGCACGGCACCACAAAGCTCGGAAAACAGTTCCTAAATAGCATTTTTTAGCTTTTGAATGGTGCTAATTGACTGTTTTGTCACCCTATTATCCTCTTCGAGATCATCGTCTGTCGTTTGCAGAATACCATTGTCTACACATTCATAGACACCTGTCTGCAAAAGAGACAGGGATAGCCCCATAAGGAAGTGGCTATATTTTTGCTTACTCACTTTACTAATTCCCTTCTCTCTGTCGGGCTCATTAAACTCGAAAAAACCGCAAGCAGTTGTCGACGACGAGCATTGCAAAGCCGTCTGCGCTTGTCGTGAGTATCGCCGTCCTTGTCGACAAAATACCTGATCAAATTCGCTGATGAGTAAGTAAAACTTCCAATCAAAATATAAACAAGCAATGAAAATTCGAAAGATGAAAACAATAAAGTCTTTCTACGAACCTTTACATTGTAGGGCGCCAGCGGCAATTCGAGAGCTTGTAATAACGGGATCAGGTAAAAGAAAAAATACATTCGGACATTCCACTATACATCAATATAGCATTGCACAGCAGTTTTCTGGAAAAAATAGTAGAAGAATGGGTAGAAGTGATGTTTTTGGGTATTTGAAGTGTTATTGAGATCTGAATAGTTTACACAACTAAGAAATTTCGCGGAAAATTTAAAAGCCAGGACATTGAAAACAAAATAGGAAACTAACAAATGGAGAAAGGCCAAAGAGGGATATGTTGCGATAGTGCTAAAGGCACTAAATGCGAGGATGATGCGCGAAAAGGGAGGGATATTGTGTTTTAAAAGAGAACCCGACTGACTAAAAAAATGGAGAGGCAATCTTTTTAACAAGAAAGCCTGATCTACGTCAGTCATATTCACGAACTAAAATCTTAAAAGTGACTAACTGCCGCAGTATAGGAAGAACGAAACGGACTGAAGTAAAAGTTCTTCGAGTTTCATATTCTATTAGGTTGTCCCGAAAGTTTTGTCCGTGAAACTCACAGAACACCGATCCATGGACGACTTAGGTACCATTTAATTTAGATTTTGATCCTATTTTTTACAGCTATATATGCTCTTTGATCTACCCTTCTTTGCAATGTTATTGCCATGGCTTTTTGAGCAGCTCAGCAATAACGCCAAATCTTTCCTGTATTTCAAAAATTTTTATGCTGATGTTTTTAAGCGCGGGTAAGTGTTATGTAGAGCAAACATTTGGCTACATTGCATTTAATTTAGATTACATGTACCAAGTTAATCAAGTCCGTTATAATTATTTATCTAGTAAAAACCGCGGCTTTCTGATTACGTTTACCATGTGAAAGTACCGATTTCAAAAGCTGCTTTTTCAAAGCAAATCAAACTTGGTTATGTTGCATAAATAATGTTCAATAAGAAGCATGTTTTAATTCACAGAAACTTCAAAAGCTTTCGTGCATCTGTTGCAGTTGCGTGATTCATCTGACTTTGACAAAAATCGAGACTTCCGAAGAAATAATTTTTTGAAGCTAAAAACAGCAAATTTGGAGAATCTAAAAATAATTCCTTGTACTTCGAGAATTGCTCTATTTGATCCGTACTTAATCCTTTCCGAAACTCGGAAATGAAATTTTTAAGAACCAGCCCAACTCTGAGCAGATAAAATTAGCGGATGGAGAATTTTGGCAATTATCAAAAAAAGCATGCAAGATTGTAGTTCGAAAATCTATCCATAACAAAGAGAAAGAAAAGCTGCGTCGAACGCAAATTAAAACCCATTTAGGTCTTTATTGTGCGTGGTTTAATAGTGGTATGAAATAACGAAAAAAACTTTCGGGACAACTTAATATTATTGGGCTCGGAAGCAGTAACAGTAATTTTTTGCAAAAACATTTGCAGTCGATTTTTCTGCAAAAAAGTCTTCAAACAGCATGAATATAGCAATAAATATGGGAAATAGATGAGTAGCAATCAAGCTACTCTCAACCTACGCACACAAGTTGCTGCGACGGTTTTGCAAGCAAAATAACAGAGTTTATCAAAAATTTTAAGAGTAGAAGCAGCAAAGACGATGATGTGCCAAAGTCCCATCTCAAAGGTAACGATGTGACTGTTTCAAAACGTTCAAAAAAGTAGCTAAAAAACATAACGAACAAAAGCTCTTAGTGGTGAGGGTGCAGGAAATTCCAGGAGGAACTGATTTTAAGCCCCTTAAAAACAATTTGATGATAGCGTTTCTTGCTTTGATCAACGTAGGTGTAAAACAACAAAATGACCAGATGCATGGTAAATTATGATTGAAAGTTTAAACGCAAAAAAATAGTTATTTCTGCGAATTTGCTGGACTTTCCAGTAATGTGTACTCTGTCAAGATAATTAGTGTCAGCTTTTCCAAAGCCGTCATTGTGCTCTAGGAATAGAACTTCCGCCAAAAACTTTGTGCTTCTCACTGAAAGAAAAAATAGCGTTAAAGTGAAATGAGCTTCGAGCAAGAAATTTGAAATCTTGCAACCGGTTGATTTGACAAACCTATGTGTGCATGATAGATTTCTACAAAAAGAAAATTTACGTGATTTTTCCATAAATCGCAGTTTCTAGAATACTCAGAACTCGGTTATACTTGTATGTACGTCAGCACTGAATGATATTTAAATTTTGATAGGAAGGTTTGTAACAATGTAAATAAGGAGGATTTATTCTGAGCAGGTAAGACTGTTGATAAAACTCTGAAAAGGTGACAATCTTGTGCACGAATTGCTTCTTGTTTCCATGTTTTTTATTGGAAAGCAGTATTCAAAACAAGTAAGGTATTAGGTTCAAAATTTGGGAATATATCAAGCGTCATGAGATTATTTTCTAATCTCCCGCACTTATAAAATTCAAGTATTCCATAAAGAATCGCTAGTCTTTTCCCTATGCAAGAGATTTGGCAGAACATTACGAGATATCTCAATATCATTTCCTTTTTACTATAATGCCATGTAAAGATCAGCATAGAAAAGTTTAAATAGGTGAATATCTATATAGCGAGGCAATCACATAAAATTTATGACCTCCGCAGATAGGGTACCTTTATATGGCAAAGTAAATAGTTCGGACTCACCATAGCGAACTGTCATGGGATCACGTTTCTTTTCAGTTAGAAAATAATTTTTTCAAGAATGGCAGGCCTAATTTCCTAGAATTTGTCAATGGGTGAACGAAGAGCAGTTCAAGACAGTCGCGAGAATGCAGATGACACTCTTCCTGACGGAGATTGAGCCCTTTTTTGCAGAGAAAACCATGGCAGCTTGCCTTAGTGTCACTTTTTCAGAAATACATGTCGTGAGGATGTCACGACAAGTCAAAAGCGAAAAGTGAGCTTTCGACAGCGACCGGCTACTAAAGCAGTGGATGATGAAGGGCTTTCGAGCGTGCGAACAGCTGCCTGCCCCGACTGTCCACGCTACAACCGAATACTACGCTCGATCAAAATTTCACACACAAGCAATTTTTCTCAAATGAATCAGTGTAATGCACTAATTTGTAAACTAAACAAGGCACTTTCAACGTTTCTTACATGGCTTTAAATGACTACATTACATTAGATGGAACCCATTTTAGCAATAAGTACGAAAAGATCTTATTTTCAAGTGAACATTAGTTTCATTGAACTTGGAAGAAATCTTCATAACTTTTCAAGAAATTTCTGTTTGTTTTGAATTTTATGGACTTTTGTGGTTTTGAGGTATATGAGAAAGCACGCATAAAATTCGAAAATTCTCCGATTTGTTTATAGATTTACATCTTTCGCTATCAAATAGCCTAGTCTTCCGAACTGCTTTTTTACTAGTACTGATGCTTCCTAAAAATCCACTTAAAAACATAAAAAAAAGAAGGAAAATTTCTTTATAAATTTGTTTTTATACTTACTTCCACCCGTACGCTGAAGAAGAAAATAATGCCCATGGAGAGACTTTGCCCGCTTTTCAAAATTGCAAAATATTAAACTTTGCTGATTTAGCGTTTTTAAAGCAAGATCAAAAAAGTGTTATAGTATTTATATAACGATCTTGAAGATGTTTGGGAGGCTGGGAATAAGCTTTATAGCTTTTCTTCAAACTTTGTAAAATTTTTGGCTTTTTCCCTCTCTCTTCATAGTGAGGAGTTCGCAAACAGGGCAAGGAAATGAAAATTCCGTTTCAAGAAAAAGACGATAGCAAACCAGGAGCAATGGCTTTCATTTACATTTTAGGAAAAAAGTTGATAATTTTCACACCACATGATTTTTTTATGTGGTTTCTCTTCGCCTGTTTTGTGACCAAAAGAAACCTCGAGATGGAAGGATTGTTAGTAGGATCACCGTCGAGACTCTATACAAAAACTTCTCAAGTTTACGAGCCTCTAAAAGCTTTTGTATATATACTATTCATGATCCAATCTTTAACCCATCAAACAGATTTATGCCACCTCATATAATGTTCATCTTTTTTGAAAGTAGAGGATGGGAGCATTATTGGAAATGAAGTAAATGAGTTATGATCGAATAGACGACTGCTGTGAAAAGTGAGTGAACGGTTGCAAGGAGCGCGACTTTGGATCGCTTGCTGGAAATGAATCTAAAGGGCCGGGCATACATATGCGAATTCATCATTAGTTCTCCTACCCTAAAGGCCTAAGCTAAGGCCCAGGGAAGAGTTTCACGCGATTTCATCGTCGCGATTCATCGCCACTAGACAACTGTAACAAAATCATTGCATGCCGATCTTGTTGCATTTCGATTGTGATAGTTTCCAACACTATAATCGTGATTAACTATCACAACCGAAATGCAAGAATATCGGTATGCAATGAACTCGTGACACTTGTCTGGTCGCGATGAATCGCGACGATGAAATCGCGTGAACTCTGCCCGACGCCTAAAGCCGAGTAACTCACAACCGATATACAGTATGAGCGACATGCAATGAACTCGTAACAGTTTCTTGTTGTGAGGATCGCGAGGCGATGAAATCGTGTGGAGTATGTCCGACCCTCAATGCAAACGTTACATCAAAATTATCTAATGAGAACTCACTCAATTAGTCTTGTAATCCTGAAAATTTTAACCCAGGTATAATTCTTCAGTAGAATTATTCAAGTTTAGCATATCCTGCACTCAGTCATTTTATTTCTCATGGTGGTAACTCAATGAATAATTAAAAAGTAAATAAAAATCAGACAAACTCAGTTTAGAACTTAAGTGAGGACTTGCACAAGCAGTACGGCGGTACAAATAAGGCAGTGTCGGCGTTATCTAAAGCAATAACTTGACCAAAAAATGAATTCAAAGACGCGATCAAAGGCTTCGAAGGATATTTGGTGACGGTAGTAAGGTGACTTAGAGAAAAACTCCGAGTACGACTCGTTTATCCGATCTTTGAAAAAAGTGTGTGTGTGTAACAGGGCAGCGTTCGTAGCACTTCTGCTCTTACCACCTGCAGCTGTCGTGTAGGCGTGTACGTGCAAGCAACATAGATGATGATCTGTTGAGTACATGCCAAGGAAAAATCATGCAAAGAACATGCGAAGGCTGAAAGATTTGCTTCAAAAAGCGGGAGAAAAAGCAAGAATTTATGAGCTGGGGCTCAACAATTGAAAGTACCAAAGTTATAGCAATTAGAAAAATGGACGTGGTGAAAAAAGAGTCAGTGGTATCAAAGATTTCTTTTTCGAGGGTAGAGACAGGGATGTGCAACAAAAAAATTTTGCATGAAAAAATTTTCGAGTTGCGCCACACAATTCGGAGAATTTTTAGATTCTCTAAGGATACATATCAACAGTTTGCAAAAATCCAAAATTGTTGGCGGAAGAAGGGTTCGAGCTCTTCACCACCTTCTCCATAGTCTCCGCAGCTAACCACTCGGCCACCCTAGCACACATATACGTTGCTTGGCGCCCCTTTAGAGTAAGCCATGGTCATTCTGGGGTCATGGTCATTCAACATCGCTCGTAACTTTTTCCAGAACATCTTTGAGCAGTTAAAAAGCAGGGATTTGGTATTAGTGCCCAAAGACCAGCAGAGTCCCCCACTTTGGTGTAGGGTCCTTCCTTTGTAAGATGTTCCCCAAAACTGTCGCTGGCCCAGAGGCACATTATTGGAGAGCGCATGGCGGTAGCAACACCCCTGAAAGAAAATTTTTACAAAGCTTATTTGAACTTTCAGAAATTTTCAAAAATCATTTTGATTATTTTAAAGTGAAAACAATACGCTTGCACAATTTTATAGCTCGTATAAGTTCTCTTCGTGTACCAAGAGTACTTCATCGGGCTCGACTGGGATTAATAACTCTCTTATTGAGGTTATGAAGAATGAAACACGAACGCTTACCGTGCAAGAAGAAGATTTTCGCGTCCTTTTTATGAATTTTTTGGTCTAAATGGAACGTATTTATAGGATGCGAACTGATATTGCAACAAATAACTTCTTTTTTTTTATTTGCATGTTATTTGTTGTTCACGCCCTCGAAGGGACATTACTCACAATCTCAGATTTGAACGCCTTCATTATGCACTCTTCTCAGTAGTTGAAAAATAAGTTTTACAGACCTTCCTTCCTTACTGAGGAGTTCCGGGGAAGGTCTGTAAATACTTTCACTCCGTCCAAGGGCGGAACGAAACGGAGCATTGTTATATACACATTAGGAATTGAAAACCTTCTTCTTATTATTAATCACTTTCTCCGCAAGTTCTTCAGCTCGTAGTGCCATGATGATTCTTGCCCTTATCTCATGCTCTGATAAGGCCGCTCAGTACAACATTTCGTTTTCAGTTGCATATACGGTCCTATACGCTGACAATAACAATAGTTTTCTCTTTTTTGGTACAGGAGATAGTAAGAAAAGTGACAACTGTGGCTTTATCCGACTATGAGCACTAAAAGCGGTGGATCGCTGGGCGCAGAGGAACGTATTTACTTGCACATTTATGACTATGAAACCAAGGTATGGGCTTTGCATAATTTTAACAAAAAATTTTCAAATCCAGTTGGAATTAAATGACGCGTACGAAGTTTTCAAAGAATCTCTCCGATATCAAATTTCTAGGAGTTTTCTGGTCTCACTACATATCATGGTTTGGTGCGTATCTATAACTCCAATACTTGGCCATCGAGGATTTTCTGGTGTGTCGTCGTGCTTTCATGTCTTTCGTTGTTCATGATTCATGTAGGTTCAAACTTCCACTTTTCATTAGACTCTAAGCTTTAGGAGCACCTTGCAAATTGAAAACTCACAGTGTGCGCCTTTTTCTTATTCGCTTGTTAAACCTGAGAAAACTCTGAGTCCTTGCGTTCGTGAGGCATAACCAGACATACTTTGACTTGACATTCTGATGTAAAATAATTGAAATTACCTAGTATTTTTACAGAGTGGATACCTTCTTCTTGGCTATCACTCCAAGCCCACACTTTTCCAAGTCAACACTATTGTAGCACCCGATGGTATATATTTCCCTGACATAACTATCTGTAACCATAATCTCGTCGAAGCTTTTAAACTAGCAAGTGAGCTGATCAACTTCGGTTTTCACTGCTTCGTAAATAATATCTTTTTAGACTTTAGAGTTTAATGTGTCCTCTACATTGTTTTCTTACATATCAACAGCATTTCTTGATCATTTCTATGATGATGACTACGTGGAGAAGCAGAATTTGTTCGAAAAATATTCAGAAAATTACGTTGCTAATACCGGCATAAATTTTTTGATTGCGAAGTTTTTCTACGAAATAAGGTAATCTATGATTTTTAACAGAAAATGTCAAGGCCGAAACGATTCAGGAGATTTTGTAATCAAAGTACTTGTATAATCTGTTCGAGTATTAGCTTCGCGCGAAAGTTCTTAATTCAAACGAAATTCGACAATCTTTCGAATACTAAATCTAAATTTATAGTTTGGCATCTTAAGATAATAGAAGGCTTGCGCTTCATAACAGATGTTCAAGCTCAATATTCCCTAAGTTAGCGACCGAAAATGAAGCTTCCAAATGGAGCGTCACCAATTTTGCGATTTTCTTGATACTAGAAAAATGTGGAGAGCCACAGCGGCCAAGAATCCGCAAAAATTACTCACACAGCAAAAATTTATACTTTGCTGTGGAGGGCTTAGATCTCGTACGGTAACACAAAAACAAAAAAATTTGTGAAAAAAGTTATTTTACAGGAAAAGTACAGGGTGCGGCAAAAGTCTGGGAGCCTAACTTTGCAGTACTGCAATTACAAACATACTGATGGTTACGATTTCAATTTTATGCCGCATGATGCTGCGGTCATCCTCTACAGAATAAACTTTATTTGGCTGGAAATGGCTGCCATATGTTTTTTTAAGAATGAAAATTACCAAACTAGTACTTTTGCAAAGCGAAAAAACCAGAATTTTTAGTATTTACAATTTTTGCTATAGCTAGAAATGCTGTTAGTATTCTACGACACTTCGATGCACACAGTATAGAAGAGGCTTTGCGCTATTGGATCGTAGTTTTGCTTTTGCCAGGAGCTGTTCTTCCATAAACGAAAAATAAAAGTTTGCGAATGTTACCTATGTGCCAGTGGAAATTCGTCTTCAGAACAAATCTAAAAGCTATAGAATGCTCAACAGGCACTAGAACCAAGGCTGTTATTTTTGCATAAGTCTTCTAAATTAGAATCTATTGAAATTCGGCCATGGGAACACTTTTTATACTTTTTAAACAATAATTTTAAGTTTTTTTGCGCAATTGTAGCCAAAATTCCGGTATGCGACATACACATGCTTCCAGTTGAACATCCAATATTTTTATTCCTAAGCAATCAAAAAATTCTTTTGGAAGTATGTTGTAGACAAAAGCTTGCTCTATCATACTGCACATCTGTCAATGTAAAAGAAGCAGTTATCGTGAAGGCATGGGGCGTATTTCATTACAGTCACCCGCGTGCCATGACAGATGGACTTGGCAAGATTTTGTAGGGCTGCGTAGAAGCCAAAAGAGGCAGTTTTGCAATTCAAGAACTGGGCTGTATCTGCAATGGTTCGACTTATGTGTGCGCCAAATTTTTTGTTTCTAGGTACTTTCCTTCTCGCTTTGTACGAAAAAGTGCTAGACTCTCAGACTTTTGCCGCACCCTGTACTTTCATTACCATACTTTTGCAGCGAAAACACTTTCTGACATTCCAAAAAACGTTATAGTGTTCTGAATATGCACTATGTCTGATTTCTTGATTCTAAACGGTGTTTCTATGAGAACTGAAGCATAACGGGATTTACTCCATGAAATGGTAATTAATTTTCTGCCATTGCATCTTCATACGAGATGAAGCACATGCTAAGTGAAAGTGAATGGCCTTTTGCTGATTTTCAGATTTTTTTTGGATTAGCTGTGGCCCCTTGCGAATTTCTGACAGCAAATTCAAATCACAAAATTGGAAACGCCATTTTTGAAAGTTTCGTTTTCGGAGGCAAACTCATAGAATGTTATGCTTGACCATCTGTTATCAAACGGAAACCTACGTTTTTTAGGTTCAGTTTTTGAAAGTAATTGAAATTCGTTCAAACTAAGCAAGAACTTTCGCACCAAGCTAATATTATAACCACTGCAAATTTACTAACAAGGGAACCGTGTCGAGTCGAAGTGGCCTTTTCAGATGAGACCCATACTGCTCTAAAGAGCATTTATCGGTGATTACAAATCTGCTTTCCAAATCTGCCAAGCGCCTCTGAACGCCAAGTTATGCTCGTTTTTCAGGTCAAAAAATTGAACGCAAAACTGAAGCAAAATCGCCGAAATTTGCTCAAATGGTCCAGTGTCAAGTATCAAAGCTGTTTATGCAATGGATACATTTTATTTAATACTAGCTGGCTTACCCGGCTCCGCCGTATATTCCGAATAGAAAATTCCATTTCTTAACCGATCAGGACCAAACTTGGCACACATACACTTCGGGTCCCGGCGGGTGTCATAGGCTACTTTTCGTCATCGATCGATATCGATTTTATCGATTTTTTGCAAAATTTGAGCTAGGGGGCTGGAATTTGGCAGAGGGGTGTACGAGCATGCTGATCACCCCCACGGGGGTGATCAGCATTACCCCCCTGTGCCAACTCCCAGCCCCCTAGCTCAAATTTTGCAAAAAATCGATAAAATCGATATCGATCGATGACGAAAAGTAGCCTATGACACCCGCCGGGGCCCGACGTGTATGTGTGCCAAGTTTGGTCCCGATCGGTTCAGAAATGGAATTTTCTACTCGGAACATACGTACACACAGACAGACATACAGACAGACAGACAAACAGACATTCAGCTTTATATATAAGATGCTAATACTCAACATTGCTTTATCTGAGCGCTGGAAAGATTGTAACAATCAATTTGACCTAAATTCTGCATTCATTTTTCGTTTCGAAAAACGGTCATAACTCGGCATCCAGAGGCGCTTGGCAGATTTGGAAGGCAGATTTGGAATCACCGCTTAATACCCTTTAAAGCGGTATAGGTCTCATCTGAAAAGGCCACTTCGACTTGACACGGTTCCCTTGTAAGTCAAAGCAATGTAATTTAGACCCACATGCGAGGATATGGTGCTTTCCTGCTCTTTTGCTGGAGAGCCCGTCAAGAGCTGTTGCTTCTACAGCGAAGTTGTTCCTACCGACATTGGATACTGTTTGAGGTAGTTCTTCGTATTTTCCTAGACATTCTCAATTCTAAAAGTCTTGAAAAACTAAGTAATCTCTACAACTTTTACGTGGTATCAACAAATATATTTGGATTTTCTTCAGATTTTCTAACTCTAAACTGAACAAGACTCAAATTCTGAGCGGTGGCAGCTATGGATGGCAATTTGTCCTGGATGGAGTTAATGCTCCAGATTCTAGTAAGAAAATTAGTCCAATGGCATTGAAATTTGAAATGCTCAGCAGATTTATCATCTGAGATGGGATTCCGTGTGCTGGTCCATGAACCAAACAAGGAGTATTCATTGGAAAGTTATGGACTGTCCGTACCACCAGGAGTTGTGCTTCATGCAGGCATCTCTGTAAAAAATGTAGGTACAAAAAAATGTTGATTCTTAATTGATGAATGATATTTGTCGGCAGATAATCACTGTCGAATGGCAAATGGCAATGACAATCATTTAAAGGCAGTGTCCAGTGGGCAAAAAGTCGATTTTGAGATTTTATGCTTACCCGGACCTATTCGCCATGCTGAATCCGAAATTCCACACTGGAAAGCGCGAAAACGGCGAAAAAGGGCTCTAACACAAGAGTGAAATCAAAAGTGGGCGGGGTCCTCCCCACAGTGAATTCACGGTCCCACCTTCCGGAGCGATCTTTTTAATTCCGCTAACCGCCCTGACATCTCCACAGACCAAATGCGAACGCATGATCTGAAATCGTAAGCGAGAAAATCGCTCCGGAAACTGGGACCGTGAATTCACCGTGGAAAAGATCCCGCCCCCTTCTGATTTCACGCCTACGTCAGAGCTCTGTTTGGCCGTTTTCGCGTTTCCAGTGTGGATTTTCGGATTCAGCATAGCGAATAGGCCTCAGTAAGCACAAAATCACAAGATCGACTTTTTGCCCAGACACTGCCTTTAAAGGCACCGTCCAACCAAATGACTCCCATGTTTTGATCGTTCTCAGGCCTCCTCATGTCCCTGATTCCGAACATGAAGTCGAGAATAAGCGAAAACCCCAACAATCCCCTTTCCGGAGAAGCCACAGGCCGGCTTTCCGGAACGGTGATTAGATGGGCGCACACGGATGGACGGACATGGATGGGGAGGGCGATGCCGTCAGCGGGTTCCTGTGCATCTTCGTTTTTCTGGAGCGATTTCCTCGCTTCCGAAGCGATATTTTGCGCCGCGACTAGGCCATTGGCTTGAGGGAGGGCTATACTATCATATGCTGCCAAGAGCTCAAGACTCTCAACTTAAGGTGGACAGTGTGGACGGTGCCTCTAAGGTAGTAAAATCAAGTTTTGAAAAGTTCATGTACTTGATCATAATAAGATCAATATGGGAGACCTTTCGAATCTCAGAAAGTGCTGAACGCCCCAGCAGTTTTGCAAAAGTTTTTGTAACCTCGATCATTTTTTGTTAGGTCATTTTATGAGCAACTATGACTTATGCAAATTCACTATCACTATTGAATTTCACAAAAAATTTTGCCTCCATCGTAGATTTCTAATTACCTGGAAAATCTGCCTATAAGTTCCGTGATGCTGAAGAATGGAAACTTGAGAAATTATGGAAAACACTTACTTGGAAGAATGCGTTTTCGTTGACGACAAATATGCGCAATGAAAATAGTATGTGCACTTACACATAAACTTCTGCGCCCCTCTCAGATACTTTTTCCGGCTGGTGACCGGGCAATGACCGGCTGAGGCAACACCTCAATTCCGGGCGGGCCGGCCGCCGGCCGCCCGTCAGCCGGTGTTGGCACGCAAACGGCGCGGACGCCAGCCGGCTTTCCCAACGCAGCGGATTATGGGGGCACGCCAGTTTATCGCCGATTTAGCTTTGTTGACTATGCTATCTTATATATAAAGCTGAATGTCTGTTTGTCTGTATGTCTGTATGTCTGTCTGTCTGTATGTCTGTCTGTCTGTACGTATGTTCCGAATAGAAAATTCCATTTCTGAACCGATCCGGACCAAACTTGGCACACATACACTACGGGCCCCGGCGGGTGCCACAGTCCACTTTTCGTTATCGATCGATATCGATTTTATCGATTTTTTGCAAAATTTGAGCTAGGGGGCTGGAATTTGGCAGAGGGGTGTAATCGAGCATGCTGATCACCCCCACGGGGGTGATCAGCATGCTCGATTACCCCCCTGTGCCAAATCCCAGCCCCCTAGCTCAAATTTTGCAAAAAATCAATAAAACCGACATCAATCGATAACGAAAAGTGGACTGTGGCACCCGCCGGGGCCCGAAGTGTATGTGTGCCAAGTTTGGTTCGGATCGGTTGAGAAATGGAATTTTCTATTCGGAACATACGGCGGAGCCGGGTATGCCAGCTAGTTCTTCTAATAATGTACAGTGTTATACATAGATTTCTTACAATATTTCATTCAGCATTTACAAATAGGGCAAAGAGCGGAATAAACACGAATGGTATTCAACATATACAGCATACAACACGTATCAACACAATATACATAAACATATTGCACCGTATATGAACATATTGCATTGTCGTTGCACCATATACAAACAGTGACCAAATCCGCATTAGTTTTGCTTAGAAACAGGAGCTAGAAGAAACGACCCCGCTCCCAGGATTCGTGACACGCACCTCACAGACGAGTAGGAAGTCAGCCGCTTGTACCTACAAATAAAGATCATGGGGATCTTACGAAGATGAGAAATAACTGCAGTACGTAACAGCAGCATGCCACAATTGAAGTTATGTTATTCTTCCGCGATAAAGATCCATACGCGCATAACATATATTAGTCATATATTCACTACCAGTTCCAATTCTAAAAAAGGAAGATTAGTCTTTGCACAAGGAATACAAATTATGCTCACCTGTTGCAGTATGCATGGACAACACTGATGACCAGACTAATCATTTCCATATATGTGCACTCAATCTCCAGACAACAACAATCAATCAATCAACCATGAAGTTGTTAGAAGAACACTTATATGTAAGGCAGATTGTCATGGAATGTTCTCCGGAGTAGACAAATAAGCAGATAATACAGGGGCAACCATAGCAGGAACACCATCATTAACAGTCTCAAGCATTTCAGATGACTTGTTAACTAATGCACTCCAAACTCTGAAAAATGTTATGGGATATTCAGTTTAATATCTAATAAAGATGTCAAACATTTACCTATGAGAGTCCACCTTTTTCGTGGGGATGAAGACATGAAAAAACTAGTAGATATTCTTGAGACAAACAATATGACAGCTAGCAACGACATGGAAGCTTTCCTAGTCTGCTGAAACTGAAAACAAAGATGAGCAATGAAACATGACATTACACGAGCAGTCATGTAAAGAAAGACACACTAACACTATAATAATCACGAAAAAACAAGATTCAAAAGCTTGTGTAAGCCGCGCGGGATGATGAAATCGCATGCTCACTATTAACTCTGACGGTATTCACGATTTCGTGCGCCTTCGCGCGCTTTTGCGGACACGACCGGAAGCCGGCCGGTAGTAGTTTCTAGCCCGCTCCTCGGCCGGTTTTAGGCTCCGCCCCAAAACATGGCGCGGCCCTCGGCCGGAAGGCCTTCGTCGCCCGGTCACCAGCCGGAGAAAGTATCTGAGCTTGGGTAGCCAGACTTATCCAGTCCAGACAGTTAGTCCGATTCACCCCATTCGCCATTGGTCAACTCAGTCGTCTGAACAATGGAGAATGAGTGAATCCGGACGACAGCAAAACCCTAATCACCTTTCAGATTACGCTTCTTCCTCGAACTGATTGGGGTTTCTGCCAAAGACAATGGGATCGAAAACTTCACGGGCAACTGCTTGCCAATCTTACGGTACTATTTATCCATTTCCTGTCAAATCGCGACTCAGCAAGACTACAGTATACCTCAACCCATTGTGAATGGAACTGTCTTGCACATGAATGGTTATACATATGCGAATGTCTGCCTATGAACCTTTTGATCATGGATGAAGAGCAGAAATTTCCCACTTGCACTCCACTTCAGATTCGCACATGCACTGAGCGAATTCACGGTATGCATAGAGTTAACAATCCGGCTCTGAGCCAGTCAAAAACAGCAATACCGTGCTCAAACGTATCGCTGTATTTAGCTAACCTTTCCGATTGCAACTGCGATGTTGAATGTGAGAAAATAGAGTACGACATGCGAATGAGTTATTCGGACGTTATCGCAGAATCAGTAATGCAAAGATTCGATTTATCTGCTGATTATGTTGTGTAAGCAAACTTCAGCCCTTACCGTAGAAGAAAATTGTTGCTTTTCCAGAGATAACGTTTCCATTGTAAATTTATTCATGCAAAGCATGGCTTACGAGCGTCACGAACAACAGAAGCAGTTGCAAACAGCTGATTTGCTTTCAAATATTGCCGGAAGTATGGGACTGTTCCTAGGAATGAGCACGGTAACTACCATTTATCTCTGGGTTAGGAAGGAAAATTGCGTATATCAGTATTTTCGAAAAAAAGTAGAAAAATGTTTGGAATACCAAAAAAACTCTTGTGATTGAAAACGAAACGTCTTTTTCTCGCAGTTTTCAGCACTGTATGGGGAATACAGTGTGTGTCGATCATGTTCTCCCGTTTCCGAAAGCGCAGTCGCTATACTAGAGCTTCGCATCACTTTCGCGCGAGTATGGTTTAAAGGCAGTGGGTCGGCAAAACTCAACAACTCAAAATTTTAATGCGGTAGACTCCTTATTACCTAAGTATGAAAACAGTGCAATCCTGGTTGCTGCCATCCTTGCCGAGAAAATTGCTCTCAAACATACAAGCGCAGCCCATTCTTACACGCATAAGAACGAGTTGGCAATTTCCTTCTCACCATTGAAGGCTCCCCGCCGCATTGCTATAACCTTTGGGTCCTGCAACGATTCGGCGTCATCAGCCTTGCTGCACTCGTCCAATTCCAAAGGGAAGGGCATTAAAAAACGCTCGTTTTCGGCGTTTTCAAGCTCTCAAAAGTGGATTTTCGGGATCAGCGTATTGAATAACCCCAGGTAGGCAAAAATTTGACTAGGTTCAGATTTGCCGAGCCACTGCCTAGGCATTGAAATTAGCGCCGTGGATTGGAGGTCCACCTCGCGTTGCGCATGCGTGTTCGTAAGTGAAAGAAAGTTTCTAATTGACACAGACTGTGAATGAGTCTTTAGCTATGCAGGCTACCCTACTATAGCTTCTGCGTGTTTTGCCCCACAAATAACTCAACCCATGCCCATAAACTCTTATTTACAATCTTTTGAGCACCTTTGCAGGTAACTCTGCTAGAGATATTCATTTATCTATTCAAGTCAGTATGGGGTACGGTAAACACTGAAAGGCAGAAACAGTTTATGGAGGCTATGATGGAGGAAGAAAGTGAAAGACGACAAAGTTTGGTAATTGTGGAGGAGCCACAACCAGAGGTATCTCTTAGTGAGCTCATCTAACCATATGTTCTCATTTCTTTAGCAACTGATAGCGACAGATGAGGCTAAGGACCATGTGCGACGAATATCTCATAGAAGACAATCAAAGAGGGTATCCATAGTACCACTACGAATTCACTTGGACAGAAGAGGCAGCACTGTGAGATTCGTTTACTCTTCGCAATAATCATCGTATTCCTAAGTTTTAGCACCCGCTTCTTGAAGATACCGAACAAACCACTTCAAGTCATGTCAAATATCTTACTCCTCCCAGGTAGTTCAAAGATGTCTTACAAGATCTACATGACCTTCTCAGATTTTCTATCCATGGTGCACCCAGCCGTCGGAACTCAACTATGGAGACGACAATAGGGCACATGCTCCCAGATTTCCATTCTCCTAGGTCAAGCTTCACACTTTGCTTCAAAATTCTCACTCTATAGCATCTCTTGACACAATTTCTAGAAGATCTTTCGCGTCGGCTGCATTATCCAGACGACAGTCGCTGTTAGAAGGAGCAGGCGAAATTCTCCCAACGCGGAGAGGGAGTACTGCCTTGACACCTCATCTGCATAGAAGGTGCTTTTGTCAAAATGAATGCTTTTTACTGGATCAAGATGCTATTCAGGCCATCCGCCATAGTTACAACAGCTCCGTCGCGACGTTCGAGTGCACAACAAAACGATGATACCATACATCTTGCATTGGTGAATCGTAGACGATCTTCATTACATCCGAAACATTTTCTTCTCTGAGAAGGCAATGAAAATATGAGAGAACCAAGAATTAGAATTTTTGTACGCTCACGCCCTTTCCTTCTCTATTCCTCTCTCTCTCTGCTTTTGCCCAGTGGCAGAGGTGGTAATTTGCTCGGACGAAATCCTAGCGGCTCAAATGCCTTTTTGGCTGCCAGGTAGCGTAGGAGATGTAACCTTTAATTCAACTGGCTTAGCGGCTGAAAGGGGGGGGGGGCTTTGTAACCTAATTGAGGCCGCTCGCGCCCGCGACGCAGTCTGCGTCTCTCCCGCTCGCCTGCTCTCCGATCATTACCCACCCTTAATTAGGTCACGATGCCCCGCCTTCTAGTCGCTAAGCCAGTTGAATCAGAGGGAAATGCTCTACATATAGATAGGTATTGATGTAGTCCGCACAAGCATTATCAAGTCATAGTCCGTGTCGAGTAAGACATTCTAAATGTTCATTCCTTCGCTGTATAGGTCATTTTACATCACTTAACATAGCATTATGCTCTTGCACACTTATGTCCTTTTTGATTGTGCTTCATTTTACATTTGTTCTTTGTTATTCAGTTTAGTATAGTGAAGGTTTGATCACACAAGTATGAGAAGTGGCGCGAATAGAGAACCGCCTAGAAGTTTCCATTCAAGTCTGTAGTACGCGCAACTGTAAGGGCATAAAGTTTGATCAGAAGCAGGAAATACAGTCGGAAAGCTGGGAAACCTACGCCCTGGGAGCGTGGCGCTCCACCTGTGCATATGCTCTGAGGCAGATTACGCATGCCGCGACAGTTGTCGTAGGGATTAGCCCTTAGTAGAACCAAATCACGATTAGCCAATAAAACCTTCATTTACATACGATATAAAACATCTTAGACTAGTAAAGCGAACCCAATAACACAGAATACTAGCCTCAAATAAGATAAACTAATCAATATATATAACAGAAATAATGGACTATACATGAAAAAATACCTGTGATGCCAAAATAAATCAATCTATAAAACCCGCGGAAAAAACGAGTTGGACAGAATTTGTGAGACCAAGCTAGCAAACTTCCTGGTATCGCAAGACTACCAGTGCCGAGCACAAAAGAAAACACAATATCAAGGAAAAGTTCGGTGAACGAACAAAAAAACTTACCCACAATCAAAGCCATCCACAACCAAAAATAAAATACCACTGGCGCAAAATACTGCATTTCATTCGTCATTAACTTGCAGCAAAGTCAACTAAAACCTCTTACAGACCAAACTTAGGCTCTACCTACCCCCCCCCCCCCCACCCCAAATCTTTATCACCATACGTGCGCTCAACGTCCATCAAGACATAATGGTGGAACCTAGCGATGGCCGATTTAAAGATCATGCTCCTTTAAGTTGATTTCTGTAATATACATGCATGTTAGTTAAGGCGAACAATACAGCAAAATATGTTTATGGCAAACCCTATCATTTTGATTCTCAAAACTTTTGAATCTATGTTGCAAAGGTGATCAGTAGAAAGGAAAAGAGATGTGAGATTATGGTGACAGAGTGCGTGCAATTGTTTTTATATTTTTATCTCGTGTATAAGATACACAGGAGCGGCTACTGTTGGACTACGAAAAGACCCTTCCATTTATCGCACAAATGAACTGCTGGATCGGTCTGAAGTCGTCAATGAACTGCTGGATCGGTCTGAAGTTGTCAAACGACCATTTCAGCGCGTTCACTCCGATGTTATAGAACCCCTTCCACTAGCGCTACAGGAAAAAGTTCGTCACCTTCGTCTTTATTAACGCATTCTCTAAACTAGCGATCCTTACATAAGCATGGCGATACGGATGGTGTGAATAAATACGAAGCGCTGGGAAGCATAAATTCTTTGAAAATAGGCGAGAAAGTGGAGGAATTGACCCAACAGATCAATACTCTCCGAATCACCCGAAACACTCCTCCTCCTAAACAAAACCGCTCCCATGCAGTGTGCATTTTCAAACAAACGGAAGACAGGTTTAACATCAACTTATCCTCTCCAGAATTCATTGCAAGAAGCAGAGTGGAACAAAGAAATTCCCATTGGATATTGTTCTAGAAATTCCCCTTGGATACTGTCCTACAAACAGGCCATAGAACTAAGCGAACTTGACCCATATACTCGCGAACACCTTCCCGAAGATTTCGATGCTGCTCATGCTAGTGCTGAAAAGATACGGAGAATACTCGAACAAGAGTTTCGTGAAGGATAACGAACCAATCAATACAATAGCAGTGATGCCAGCATCGGCCTCTGAAAGGTTCTATCACCCGCCGCCTCTCCAAACCTAGAAACGCGACCCGATAGATAACCACCGCCACCCTTGGCCGAAGACGATCAATACGAACCCAGAAATCCTCCTAATCCATGATCATCGATGCATTTCACCATCACAAAAATGACACGACAAACATTCAACAACATATAAGTAAGGCAATATCTGACCAACCAAAGAAATCACTTAGTTAGCTTAGTTATGCCGATCCCACTTAGGCAGCACGACTATTGCTCATTGGTCAGAGATACAAACGATGTCGCCAACCTATCGGACAACAAACTTCTGGTGATTAAATGCAAAAAAGTTGAACCAACACAAATCTTTCCATATCCCTGACAAGGGAAGTTCCCTTAGTCGAAGTGGCGATTCGGAAGGAGATATATATCAGTGGATAGAGCTTAAAAGCTGATCCCTTATATACCTTCTATATCTGCGATGCGTTGTTCTAAAAAAGTTATGAGCTTTTCTAAAGCCATTTTCCTGCTTTTTGAGTCCTAAAATCATGATAATCGCTACACAAAAGTGTGCAAGCTTGAGCAAACCACCTAGTAAGCATTGTAGGTCTAATTCGAGTTCATTCGAACGTTTTCGAGTGTTTTCCGACCATGTTATTTGTTCACAGGCCGTCATTTCCTTCTTGGATCACACTTCCATTATATTAGGTTGGCTAATAAATAAGTTCGTTTTGATATGCAAATTCAAAACTTCATAACAATTCATGTAATAGCTATTCAGCTGAGATTTTTTCTTGAGAAGATAGCCTCAAGCCTATACTCTTGAATAGCAAATAGCCAAGGTTTTCTGTTACCAAAAATGACAGTTATAACCATATATGGTCAGGCTTCTAAAAAATCGCTTTTTTAACTTTCCAACTTTCGTTCTCAGCCTGCAGTGAGTACAAAAGCGAGTAATTTGGTGGCTGGATACATACAGCCTCTGGCTAGGTGGCGAACTACAATAGAGATTGCGACCTGCTTTTTCTGAATTTCTGCAGTCAAAATTGTAAAAATTTCCAGGCATTTGCGCGTGAAGGTCAAATTTTGGACATTCCAGATAACTCGAATTTGGCCATCTATGGCCATGCAGATAGTTGAAAATTCAAAAATTTGTTGTATGGGTAGCGAATCTACACTTTACACCTGACTTCAGTTCGTTTTTCGGAACGTAATTTTTCGAATTTTTGGGGAAAAATCTGACTAATTTTCTTTCCTTCATCATTTTATTATCAGAAAAATTATTTTTGAGAAAACATAGTCAACCATCCGATTCTCCTTGATTTGCTCTCTCCAGCGGTACCATATATACACACAAAAACTGATTTGTGACATTTCTACAAACCGCTAGAAACGACCGAATTTATTTTTTAGCCAACCTAATATATATAAAAAGCCTATAACCCCCATCTAGAAAACGCGTCGCAGATGTTGAAGATATATTTGAGAACATCGTTCTATGTTCTATTCATTGATAGTTTCCAAAAAGTTTCCGACGCGACGCGTTTTTCTAGATGGAGGTTACGGGGCTTTTTTGTTTACATAATGAAAGCCTGATCTAGGAATGAAATGACGACCTGTGGATGAACAACATGGTCAAAAAACATGCGAAAGCGTTCGGATGAACTTGAATTAGAATACAATGCTTACTAGGTGGTTTGCTCAAGTTTGCACACTTTTTGTAGCGATTATCATGATTTTGCGACTCAGCACGAAAATTTGGCTTTAGAAAAGCTCATAACTTTTTTTAGAACAACGCATCGCAGATATAGAAGGTATATCTGAGATCAGCTTTTTAAGCTCTATCCACTGATATAGATCTCCTTCCGAATCGCCACTTCGACTAAGTGAACTTCCCTTGTGAGTAAATAACACCTACTATGATCTTCTACCTGTTTTGATTGAGAATCATCTTTGATTTGCCATTCCTGCCACAGGAGGTTTGATCCAAAAGCGACAAAACGCCAGAATGCCCTGCCCTTATATCTCCAACGTCGATCCAAGTCTGCTTCAACAAATATAACCACCGAATGTACTATCAAAATTGCTAAACCTTTCTTATTTAACCCGCCGCCTATTTACCATCACCTCATACAAAACCATGCCTCAACCATTAGATTCCAAATCGATTATCTGCAGCAAGAATCAGCCTTACAAAATCGATTACAAAAGCGAGAAATCATAGAAGATACCAACGGTTTGGTATTTTCGCCAAGAAGCTAAACCGTAGTTTTGATTAGGGATTCATTCGGGGTTTATGAGCGATATTTTCATAAATACACTGAAAGAACTCAATGTTACCCATAATACTAGTACACTCTACCATCACAAAGCGAGAGTGCAAAGTTTCTGGGAGGAGGTTAGGTGTGTGGTGAGAAGTCACCTATCGCTCCCAGGCTGCGATATCAAAAATTCGGTCATTGTTGCTAACACATCACAGCTGAAATGAAAAAAAATGAAAAAGTCGACAATTTCGAAATTAAGACTCACTACGGCGTCCTTGCTCGAGGTGCTCCAGATTTTCTTCTATGCTAAACCTGAATAAAAGTCGAATTGTGAAAAACTGCAAATATAGGAAGGTCAGCTTTACCTGACATAACCAGCTTACTACGGTCAGTCAGTGATTTCTCCTCACATTCTGCATTCCATATCATCGTCTTGGATGAGTTCTACAAACGAAAAATTATATGTTGAAAATATAGGAAAATTTAGTATGTAGTTGACTATACTTATGACAAAATACAAATTGCCATATCACTCAAGAATGCTGATATCTACTAACCTCATTACTTCCATGGTCTTTTTTGTTTGCACTGTATATGCAACTTCAGAGTCTAAAAAAGGATCTTTACAGAAAGTAGTTTCTAACGCATATGTCAGCGGATTAGATGCAAATAAAAAAGCAATTACTCATTACAATGCAGTGAGGAATAATGAAACATAAACGAAACAAGAGGAGCTATTCAAAAAAGAGCACCATGTGTGAAACGAGGAAGTCAGAATGAGAGCCGTGCTCAACGTGCGTGAAGAGCCCCAATTCAAATATTCGGAGAATCTGAAGGCGGAAAATTCGGACAGGGCGTGGCCACTGGTTGGGTCTGTTCCATTCGGGTAGAAGACTATATGTCGCCGAAAAAGGGCGGTCCCCGCGCTCACTTGCGACAAATACGCACTCTTGTACATGCGCGGACATGCGTTCCTGCAGGGAATCCGCGCGGGACTCTTCCAAATTCGGCGACATATAGTCCCCACCCGTTCCAGGCCATTTGTCGCCTTCCGGACGTTCCCCACCCAGCAGAACTACCTCGCTTCCGGTCACAAAGCCTTCCACGTTCTATCCATCGGTAACGGTAACGACAAAAAGAACCCTTCCGGCTCAAATATCCACAGAAGCCAGTTTTTGTCATTCCGTACTATAGAATAAATATTAGGATAGAATTAAATCAAACGAAAAGGGGAATCTAAAGCGAGGGGGGAGGGAATTCGGACTTTTTTGTTGGAGAGGCAGCTGCGAAGCTGCCCCTAGTCCGAACCTCTCTATGGGCGGGGCGTACTCTTCATATACCCCTAAGGAGGGGCGAGGAAAGATGGACTAATCGCGCAGATATTCGTGCTTTTCCTATAATCGACTAGCAGATTTGTTGAGACGACACTTTCCCGCATTGCAGCAGTGGTTGCTATAGTTGTTAGGCGTATCAAAATGTTAGTCATATCGCAGCAGATCATACCTATGCTTGACCTTACGATGCTGCAATGGGAAGATATACAAGAAAAGAGAGCCGCTACGGCACCCCATACCGCAACTCCCCGTGATACAGAAGGTATACAGTGCGCGAACAATAACCATGTGGCTGAAAGCGATTTCGAACATAGAGTTTAGCAAAACTGATAAAGACAATGGCGAACAAGCCTTAATTCGAAAGGCTGTCGCTATTCAGCGCTTGGCTAACAAAACCAGCACAGGAGAACTACGATGGCGGTCGCAGCAGCGCGCGTATCGGCTACCGTCTCGCCGGATAACGCGGAATCTGATGCTCCCGGGCACGCGTTTCTTGAACATCTTTAGAACAAAGAATCAGGGGATCATTCCGCTGATAAAGCTACCACCCGTAACACCTTTTGCTATAACTGTCCTCTTTCTGCAATTAGCGACCACCTAATTATGAAAAGCAAAAGGCTTAGCAAGAGTAAAGAAGTTAAAAGGCAGCAGCCTGCCAAAACCGAACATCCCGAAATTTTGACATGGAAGGTTGCTTGCACCCCAAACATGAAAACAAAGTAGGTCTGAGCGCACAGCATGCTGCCCTTGCCTAGAAAACTGCCCCTAAACCCGTTACGCGCAAGCCTTTCTGCTAGGCGAGGACGAGCTTGCGATTCTCCCTGACCCGTCAGAGACCGGCCTTACTATTCCTGTGATTCGTGCAAGTCCTGCGATTCCTGTGATTCCTACGGGTCCCGCAACAATGTATATTGCGAAAAAACAATGTACACTGAAATTCGCAAAGCCCTCCGCAGTGCGGCACATCGGAAGTCGAGGAATCACAGGAACTGCAGGAATCATAGGAATCGCAGGAATCACCTCCTGGAATAGTATGGCCGGTCCCTCAGAGAAGGCATGGCAATGTTATTGCGAGGGTCTCGTAACGATTCTGCCTCTCCGACCATGGCGGAAAGTGCTTCACTCGTCCAAATTCAAAATGGGAGGCCTTGGGAAAGTGTGGTTTTTGCCATTTTCGCGCTCTTCAAGGTGGATTTACCTTCAAAGGCAGCGGCTCGGCAGATTCTCAACTTGGAATTTCTTTTGCTTATCTGTGGTAATTCAAGGCGCTGATTCCGAAAATCCACCTTAAAGAGAGCGAAAATAGCAAGAACCACCATTTCTCAAGGTCTCCCATTTTAAAATTGGAGTGGAGCACGTCCCGCCATGGTAAGAGAGGCGGAATCGTTGCGGGGCCCTCGCAGTTATAACATTGCCGCATGCCTTCTCTGACAGGTCAGGGAGAATCGCAAGCTCGTCCGCGCATATTAGAATGGATTGCACGTACCGGATTTAGGGGCAGTTTTCTAGGCAAGGGCAGCATGCTGTACGCTCGGATCTGCTCTATTCTTATGTTTGGGGTGCAAGCAACCTTCCATGTCAAAATCTCGGGATGTTCGGTTTTAACGAGCTGCTGCCTTTAAGAGGTTCCTCTGGTCAGAAGTTACGTTCCATTGACAAGGAATGCCTGTGTGGGCGTGAGTCCTTAACTAACCAACGAAAGTATATCAAAAACGCAAATCCTGCTATGCAAACACAGAAAAAGTTCAATTATTGATGTCAATTTCTAAATGAAAAACGAAACGTTTTGGTTTTCCGTGTAGTGATGGGGAAACTTTCTGCTCCCGAAAACTCGTAGCGCCCTTTAGATATTTGTGACTGGAGCAGGTTTTGCCAATATTCCTTTCGTGCAAGATTATCACACTCCCGTGGCTAGAGTTCAACAAATTTGCTTCACAGTCTCAACATTAAGTACATTCTTTAGCTTTTAATATTTGTGTTATTTTCAGATAGCTACTTAATTCTGACAAATTGCATTGAATGAGAAAGGATCGAAATTTCGATTGAGTCGTAGTCTACAAGACCATGTCGTCTGATCATAACGACAGTCTGTCGGACACTTCCAACTTCTTCTATGTAAGCTAAACATGTTATGATATTCGAGTTGATTACTCCTCCAACTTATAGATTTTACCACTGCAAGCTTTACATGGCCCTGTGGAGCTAGTGATGCCGACCCAAGGGCGAGATATCGCATTCCGCACTAGTGGCAAGAAAGTGAGGGTTGTCTTATCGAATTTTCTTCATATTGACTTTGAAGCTATCGCATTGTGCTGTTTTTAGAGTCGAGGTTGTGTGGTGATGTTGTTATACACTGCTTCTGGCGAGAAGAGTAGTATTGAGATCCCGTTTGTGCACATTGAGAGCTTTGCGGTTAGTTTGTACGAACGATATCGGTTTTGGAAATATTTTGCAATGATGTGGTTTGATTTATCAATTCATCTGATGCGACTTTGTGGCCGTGCACTGCTCGGTTGACAGACTTTTTTTATACATGCCGCGTATACATAATATTACACATTTACAATCTGGGATCTGCATCATACATTCTGCTGCACAAGTTTGAAAAGAACTACTTCGCGACATTTCATCAATTTCAGATGCTGACATCCGGCAATAAGCCTGCAATTTCTATGATACTATCGGACTTCGCAGCAAAGAATCTTGCACTCAGACTAGGCACGCGGGATAAGATCGAGCATGTGATGCGCGGTTATCTGAATGGTGTTGAAGAAGCTTCAAAGTAAGGCTCTGTTCTCCAAGAAGCTCGGGTCTTTTCAGCACTCGTTCGTTCTAGAAACTTGGTTTTTGTTCTGCAACCATACAAGGATAATCTGTTTGTGCAATGTGGTGGGTCTGATACTCAGTTTGGCGGGATAAATGAGCTCCACAAACGTATCGATGCTTGGGTACGTTTGTAAATCGTGCATCGTGGCATTATAATGACCTTTTCTAGGTACGATTCATTAGAAATAGGGATTTGCTCGCTAAAGAACAGAGGCAGCAAGCTAATCGAAGTTGTCAGTCAAGTATGGAGAAAAGAACTTCGGAACGTTTCTTAGGTATGTTGTTTTGAACATGATTCATGTAATGTGAGTATAGTAAATATATACATGTTTGTTTTAATGGCTTTCAACAGGTTTTGTGCGCTTCCATATTTTTTCAATATTAGTTTCTTTCGGGACGAACATTGGGACACCGGGGCACCTATGTTCAAACTGTGTACAGGGCATGCATAATATCGTGAGAAGATTTTTGCATCAAATGACTGAACTGAGCACTGAAGTGATGCTATTTGCTTGGCGTTTAACGTTTTTTTTGGGTATGCGCGAAGACTGCAATCGAATTCTTCGTCACGATCTTATGAACGCCGTAAAACTGCTAGGTTTTTCATGAAGGTGATCGAGGTGATCATGGTTGAGTGGTCCTTTCTTTTGCAGTAAAGGATGACAGTTTTATAAGCGTTTAACGTGCATGGCTCATTCAAACCCAAGTGTAATGTCTTTTCGTTAAGTGACATATACGCCGGAGCAGTGGCTGGAGTTACTTCGAAGCATACATCTGTTCATCAATGCCGATAGCGACTGTGATAGTGCGCCGTATCGCTTTCGACCACCTGAACCCAGACCTGTAAACCCAAGTAAAATCAGTTCGTCACACATGTTTCTCTGCATGAATGATTTTGTCTATCTTCACTCATGCAGGAATCCCTAAACTGGGTGTGAAGTCGCAGTCGGAGTCATCCGCTGAGGAAATGGATTCTGTGGGCCATTTAACAAGAAGAATTAGGCCATTGAATCAACCGTACGAGAACGGACAATCACCGTAAGTTGACTCAGTTGTCAGAATTCTCAAATTACTAACAATCGTCAAGCAGGATATTTATGGCCGATGCCGCGAACAATGTGTCTGGAGGACATTATGAGCAGCGTTATGTCAATGTATCTTCTGTTTCCTTCGCTGTTTATTTTGAGTAGTTTTTTTTTCCTTACAGGAATATCAAACTGTTCAAGTTGGTGTTGCGAAGCAAAATGTGCCGCATATAATGCCAATCAAAGGACGAAGTTTCGCTTCCAGTGCTGGGGTTCGTTTTTCCAATCGCATTGATTTAGCTTTGCCTCTTATATGCTGCTTGCGAATCTTCATGCTTTGGATCTCGCAGATTTTCAAAATCTGTCTGTGCGAATACACGGACGCCAGTTTATTTCAGCGAACTTACTCTGATGCACCTTCAACGACATCTCTGCAGCAGCCCGTTGCTGCGGTTGACACGTCGCAATGGCAGATTCTTCAACCAGGCGCAGTGGTGCAAATGCAAAATTCCAACGCGCAACAGCAATATGTAGTGAGCAGTGGGGCACACGTCACACCACTGCGTACACAGCAAGTGGTCATGCAGACCACCTCACCACGGGTTCCGGTAGTTTACCAGGTTACACCATCAAGTCATCAGTCACCATTGGTTAGACAAGCCACTCCGGATAAGGCCAAGGTGCGTGTTTGCTGTTTTTTCATAAAATATCTCATATTCATCCATTGTCATATTTAAGGCTAATGCACAATTGCTGATCGTCAACCATAGTAGTCCTGGAAGGATTACTAGCGTTGTTTCTACACCTCAACTCACTCACGGTACTTTGAAGCGGCCGGTACGTAGCAGTCGCCGGAAGGAAGTTGAAACGATAGCGCTAGATGACGACGACGAGGTAGTTTGTCTATTGTATTTTATAGATTTTTTGGAATCCTTATTTAGACTTGCGGAACCAAAGCTTCCTCATCATCGAGTAGCGGTGAACACGGCGAAAATGGAAATGGAAACAGTGGCAATGGGGAGCCAAGTGAGAAGAAAGCGCGTATGGATGAGAACATTCGAGACGAAGTTCTCCTGGTGTTTCCACCTGGCGAAAGTGGGGCGGTTTCATGTGAGTGTCAATCGTACAGATTTACGCATTTATATCGTCATATATCTTTTATTGAACCTTTCTTTCTGTCTTCCTTTTGTAAATTTGTCATTTAATTTTTGTAAAATTGTGAATTACCGCTCTAACATATATCTCATGTTTTCTTAGAAGCAACATGTACAAAATTTGCATAGCGGTCTGGGTACAGTATACATCATCCCTCTGAAAATATATACATGATATGGTCTCGTTTCAGTACATTTTGAAGACTTGCGGGTATTAGCATACGGCGAGATGCTTAATGATAACATAATAGAGTTCTATCTGAAGTATATCCGTGCGAAGCTTGTCCGTGAGGAGCAGTAAGTTATTTCTTGGTTTTTGGCGCTTTCACATAATACTTTCGGCGGTTGCTTCCAGACGGGATAAAGTGTTTGTGTTCAATACATTTTTCTACCAAAAGTTGACAGAAAAGCAACCATCGATCTCAATCCTCAACAAAAATCATCGAAGCTCAATAGGACGATTTGAATGGGTAAGAAGATGGCATGTTTTTGTTCACCTTAAACTGTTTATTTTTAGATCAAAAGAAACTTTGCAAAGGTAAAGTCCTGGACGAAGAAAGTCGATTTATTCAAGATGGACTATATTGTTTTACCCATAAACGATGAAATGCACTGGTTCGACCCATACTTTTTCATTTGTCAACATTTTTGAGAAAATCCTTCATGCCTTGCTTATTCTAGGTATCTCGTGATTATCGTGAAACCTGCCCTGGCCGTTGTCCCACAACGAACCGAGGATGTTGATCAGGCGCGGAAGCGCGGCTCGTTTCGAGAAAACCCGGACACTTTTATCGTTGTGCTGGACTCACTTCCGGACCCTAATGATGTTAAAAGGTGAAGCAGATCAGAATTTCGGCATGATCATTCTTGAATTCATTTTTTTTCATTTTTTAGGAAATGCGTTTTGGATATTTTGAGAGACTATCTTGAATGTGAGCTTGCCGACAAGCGTGGTTCGCAAGAGGAACTTTATTTGGATCGCACGCGCATTGGTGCATTGTATCCCGTAGGAGTACCTCACCAAGAAAACTATGTGGATTGCGGTCTCTTCTTGCTTCAATTTGCTGAAGCCTTTCTGACTAAACCGCCCGATGAGAAAGTCAGAATTTCCTCTGATAATGCGGCATATGCTCATGCCATTTGTTTAGATGTTGCGGCATGGAGCAAGATGGAAGGACTGGTATCCATGGTTCGATCACTCAATGAAATTTATGAGAGAGAAAATTAGCGGACGACTGAGGAGTCTTTGCAATGCAAAGGTAAGACTAGCTTATCTTTTTCGAGTAGTTGTTGCAACTCGTTGTTCCAGGCATGGCAACAGCTAGAAACATATGAACATCAGCAAGGACGAGGTGTGAGCATAGAAACTACAGCGTTGATGATTGATCGTAAGTTTCTTCTTCTCTTTGGTATTTGTTCTAGTGCCGAGTTGGAAAGTTTTTTTTACCAGTTTTGTGTACTATAATCACTACTGTACTTCGATTCTGTAACCGTGAAGTTTCCAGGGCTTTGACACGTTGTTATCAGTATAACGAAAATTTTACCTTCTCTAATCTAGCTAGACACGCACCATACTTGAACCACTTGATTCAATTCATCCAATTCGCTATTGATCAAATCCGTGTAGTGACCAGTACGGATTCCACTTGATTTGCTACTGGTCAGTTTGCTGATTCGACCATTAGCCAAGTGGATCAAGCGGATCAAATTGGTGCGTGCCTTATGCACCGGCTTTTATTCCAGTAGAAAGTACTATGACTATTGCGCGGTTTCCTTCATTGAGTAGCTATTCTTGCTGCAATTCTCATTTTGGTAAAGAAGCGAAAGCACTTTCACGTTTGCAACATCAAAATTCATGCTGCGCATGATCTGTGCATGATCTGTCGAAGTTGATAGGGCGCACAGACGTTCTACGTAATTATATACTTCTTTTTCCTTCGGCCTTTAGTTCCCTCCTCTTTCTTCGGTTCCGGTCCATAATTCAATCACTGTGCTTAAGACTAATTTGAGCGGTTGTTTTTACCGAAGTACATAATATATGGACTTTTATCTCTTTATAACCTTTACAGGTGCACGAAGGCCTCGACGACATAGCGAGACGCGGCTGCATGAACCACACCCGAAGGCGCGAAAACGAACTCATTCGGAACCACCAAACATCAAAAAATGCGCTCCTCCCGCACCGCGTATGGTCCCGTAACCATATCTTTTTACTCTAGTAGAGTTGATCGAACAGTAGTTAGCATTTCTTTTGAGAATGCGTTGAGTTAGATGGAAGCGTTTTACCTCACGTGTTTTGCACGTGTAAATGTTTGCATATATCGTTACTTGTTGTCATACACTAGTATTTAATGTACAATAACGTTTGTAGTAGGGTGTAATCCATAGGAAAGGGAAGCTCAGTGAAAACTTTTGCAATTTCCGGAGAATAGTTCGTATCTATATATAATGCATACCCCAGAATTGTTCCCATATGAACCATCAACGTGGCTGCTTTTCCATCGTTTTAACACGTTAACTCCAGCAAACTTGAGATGCTTATTCGAAGTTGACCTGTTAAAATGATCAAAAGACAGCACGTTGATGGTTCATATGGGAACAATTCTGGGCGATGCGCCATATTTAAGATCGAATATGGACAAAGATGGTTTATAGTTGAAGCTGCGTCTTGTGCGACTTTTACAGCTATGTACACCCCTATGGTTTGCACTTTCCATCTGAGCAAATCATCACAACACATTAGTTCTTTGGTACATTTATAGTATGCGTTAGCCCCGGTAGCTTTGCAGGTTTCTCAGCAAGCATTGAACAACTCTGTGAGAATGTATGCAATTTGTCAAAAATGTTTTGGTCTTTATGAAGCGCATCTCTTTTTCTTCGCTTGGCCGTAAAATGCTTTGTGAGCTGTTCCATTGCGGTCGCGTTTAAGAAATGACAATGAATTTGTCATCATTTAAATTCACCGGTTTTGATGATGTTGTTGTCTATATATAATCTTAGTCTTCATGTTGTCCTTTCAAGCCAATTAAGACATGTTATTGTTCTATTGTTTACGTTCCCTTGAGATACATTATAAGCTGAAGCTCTATGAACAGGTCATTTTTTTGTTTCGTGTTATACGATTTTAACGTTGCTATAATAAACGTAAAATGGAGATTTTCGGGCTTGGTCATCGTTTTTCGCTTACGTTGTTATTTGAGAAAAATTACTCAATCATGCTACATATACACTTAGGGCAGTTCAGGTGAGCGAGCTACTACACAGAATCAGACATCATGAGTATTATGAGCTATAATGGAGGAACAATCCTCGCCATGGCGGGGAACGAGTAAGTTTTAAATTACACTCTCGTCTCTCTCAATCATCCTCCTAAAAGTCGGTTCATGACACTTTCCGCGAAAGTCAAATGTAGTCAATTGTCAGTAATTGAGCTAAAGCCAGTTGCTTGGAGCAAGTACATATTAGCATGCTTACCTAAAACTCAGCACATCACACGTCTTTTTGCAGAATGAAATTATTACATTCGGTTAACAGCATTTCCTTCTTTTGATGTATCAGAACCTTGAATGTTTTGAATTAGTCTCGCTCACATTCGTACACTTCCTTTCATTCCCAGGTGTGTTTGCATCGCCTCAGATTTGAGATTGGGAGAACAGATGACAACAATAGCAGTCGATCAAAAAAAGGTGATTTCCTGCCTTTCTTCCTTCAAAGCCTTGCTTTATCATATGATGGAACTATGTTTCCAGGTTCATAAAATTGGTGATAGAGTTTATGTCGGTCTCAGTGGATTTAGCTCTGATGCAAAAACAGTGCTGGAGAAGATCACATTTAGGAAAACATTGTATGAATTGAGGGAGAATCGCAAAATTAAACCTGCCGTAAGTGTCGCAAATAATGTCCCTTGAAAAAGTGTCACTTTGTTTCTACTTCAACAGGTACTAGCCACAATGATCTCAAACCTTGCTTATCAGCATCGCTTTGGATCATTCTTCACAGAACCCTTGGTAGCTGGCCTCGATCCAGACACTAATAAGCCTTACATATGCGCTATGGATACGATTGGTTGTATCGCTGCACCGCGGGATTTCGTCGCGGTTGGCACTGGACAGGAGTATTTATTAGGTGTTTGCGAAAGTAAGTTTTGGGACCATATTTTCATTATGCTAACCTCATCATTTCTATCCCGCTATTTCGAAATTTTCAGGCTTCTGGCGGGAAAACATGAGTCCGGAAGAGTTGTTTGAGGCTACTGCCCAATCCATGTTATCATGCTTAGAACGAGATGCTGCATCTGGATGGGGTGTTGTTGTGTACACTATCACTAAAGACAAGGTTGGTTGATTTTTATAGGATTACTTATAATTTTGTTGCCATTTTTTGAGGAGCATATCGTTCTTCCCTCATCATTTTCAAAGTTTGAAATTTTTTTTCTTGCCGCAGAACTCAGTTTTGACATATGCGACGTTTGCACGCCTCATTTGTTACGGAACTTGTGCAGTTATTATGTTGCAAACATTAGATACATAGAAATAGAACGCTGAACGGATATCTGTCTCTCACTATTCAATTTGGAAAGGATAGAATAATGACTCGCAGATTTGAACATGGTCAGATTGGTATCAGACTGCGGAAGACCCCTCCCCCCCCCCTTTCTTCCTCCTCAGGCCTTCCTCCAAGAATGGGTAGGGAAGTTTAGTGGCCTACATAGGTGTAAAGGATGAGAAACCTGTTTCTTTTTGCAACATCGTCAGCGGCGTTGGAACGCCATGTTCTTTCCCCCCCCCCTCCCTCGTCCCACCTTGAAACGCGAGGAAGATTCAGTAGGCGCGTTTTCTTCGCTGTCATGTCGCCAACTCAAAACTCATGGAAATGTCTGAAACATTTCTTCGGAAATTTCATACTTTTCGAACTTCAAAACACACCAGTTAGATAGCGCTTTTTGTACTCGGAAAACGCGGATTTTGAAAAAGAAACCTGTGTAATTTGTCTCAAGCAGGTGCTCCCTTTTCTGCAATCACCGATACGCCGGGGCTTCGCGCCACGTTCGCGCGCGTACGGCCTGGGCACTAAAGTTAGCCTCATCGATAGGAGGATCACATGCAAGGCTCTCGCGTTGCGCATGCGTAATTCCTAACCGGAATGAAGCACGTAATTGGCACAGACTGTATATGATTTTTTTGAACAGTGGTCGTTTTGTGTTCTTCTTTTTTGCGCAAACTCTTCCACCAATTACCAAACTTATAGCATAGAATAATTTTCAGGTGAACATCAGCACTTTGAAGGGCAGAATGGATTAATAATGGCCTGTACTTCTTGCTCATGCAGAGTAATGGGTATCGAATCGTTTTAAGATCTTTAAACTTGGTTATCTACAGCTGTAACTCATTGGCCTCTTCGTTATTGGTTGGTAAATTGCAATTAATGAACAATAAATTAATTCTACGGCACGCTGTTTGTTAAATTATGGAACAGAAATCGGTCAACGGCGCAATAATAGCTTTATTAAAAAGTAGTTTTCTTGATAAATTGATGATCTAGTTTCTTTTCGAGATGGGTTCATGACTACATAACAAAAACTTCACAAATTCACTGATATCAGTTTTATCTTCTGATCTATTTTGCTTAATCTAGGGCATTTGTATCGATTCCCGTTTGTTTATCTGTGCGAGAAAGTTCTTAGGTCGTCATTTCTAGTATCAAACACAATTCAAGTTTCCTTGTCTTCTTCTTCTCTTCCTTGTCTTTTTCTTCTCAATGTTAGAAAATCGAGCGGGAGGTATTCCGAGACACTTTCATCATTCGTTCTCATAATCACGTTCTCACTTCTTGCTAATATCTCATATCTCTGGTCGGATAAAGTGTGAAAATATTAATCTACAGTGTTTTTTTAGGAAAAAAGGCAAAAAGCACATCATATCATCTATCCGTATCTTTTCTTCATAGTAAAGCACCACTTGTAATGCTTACGAACTGTGCATTTTACGCATACTTGAGTCCGCATTCGAGTTCACGCACAAAAAACCTGATGACAAAGATGTGAAGATGTTTCTCAGGAATTATAATATTTGGAGCATGTAAAATGGCCGGGGAAGAGTGAAGGGCGAAATGTGAATGCATTGTATGCATCTTGATTGCTGTGTATCTGAAGATTTTGTACTGCCTGCAAATGTTGGTGTATGATGCCTTTGCTCATGAAAATTGTTGCGGAGGTGTACCAATATTCATATCACTAGATGCAAGAGGGAATGAAGCAGAGATCTTGAATAAAAGCTCTTTATGCATGTGCAGTAGTGTACACCTTCTTGGCCTCACCTTATAGAGAATTAGACGTTGCATACATCTTTCCATACATTTTTGAGTGCTACATTTGCAGGTAAAAGTCGAATGCTACTTGATTTCTTATTCAGGCGATTTGCATCAACGGTGTTCATAATGCAGATGGTGATAAGAGGAGTGACATGCTCATTCTAATTGTTATTAGGATGCGTTATACGTTGCATGTTTATGTTGCGGAATCAATAGTTGCTCCGAGACAGTATGTAAAGAATATCATAGTTCGTCTTCCTCTGAACAAGCTGAAGAAAAATTATAAAAGTGTTTCCTTGAAACACACTTCGTAATATAAAAGCAATATTATTATTGACAATTTTTTCGCGGACATGAACCGATTTCCATCATATTTCTGTTGATTTGAATGTGCATCTTACAGATTCGAGGATGACAATACTTTCACTCCTATTCATTCGAGATTTGTTTGAATAACCGTTTTTTTATCGGTAATACTTGGGCAGAAAATTAGATTGATTATGTAATAGTTGTTTAGCCATGATTCGATATGTAAATCTGCATCCTAGTGAAAAGCCAAAATCGATTTGGTAACATAATCTCTATTTTCCGAAAGTAAGCGTGTGCGATGAGGGGTTGTTGAGCTGGTCTCAGTACGTCAGATGAAGTTTGCGATGTTTGCTTACACTGACTTCTAAGATAGATCTAACCCTCCTTCCAGAGAAATTGATAGATAGTTTGAAGCACGCCCATCTCGGTTTTGAATCAACTGTTTATTTTTCTAGTAAACGCGTATAAATCGTGGTATCGCAAATTTTGTTACCGTCAGATCGAGGAAGAATCATGTAAACTTCTTTAGTTTTATCAGAAGTTTGCGCTGCTTTTTGTTCAGCTTTGCTTTGAGCTGGAATAAAATAGTGATCCGAAAGTATATCTCAATTTTCTCAAGAGACATTATATTTTAACGTTTCACAAAACTCACTTCCTTCAGTTTCTTTCTTGCATCGTCATCTGAAATAGTCATGTCATTTATGATCTTTTCAGCTTGTTCCAAGTAGTCCTTCACTGCTTGATCTTTTTCTCCAGCTTTCGATATCCTCTTGTCAATTTTTGCTTTACGCTTGAGCTTTTTGGCTTGCACAGTCTCTGCATAAAGCTTCTGTAAATTGTTTTACCTAATCCTATTTTGTTTGTAATCGCGTCTGAACGAAAATGAAGCGGCAAACCTGAGTGGCTTCATCTTGTTTTTTCAGAATTTCGTTGACTTTAGCTTCTTTTGTAGAGCTAGGAAGCTTCGTTGTCGAAAGACAAGAGACGGTGTAAACAGAAAGCTACCGTATCATATACGCGTTATGTCTGAGCACTTTCAGCAATTTTTTGTCGCCTTTGTCTTTGACCAAGTCCCTGAGCTCATTTACGAACACTGGATCGTATGCGTAGACCAATACAGCTATGAGGACCAGCAGCAGGGCAGTCTTCATTCCTGAGAAAGAAAGTGATTGATAGCTACAGAAAAGGAGTTCTCGCGAAGAAGTCAACACAAGACTGACATTACCATGTTGAGATTGCTTTTTGGCGATTCATAATTATTTGCATTTTTAGCATTTCATTTCACAGCCATCTGCCTGAAAAGCTCATCAAGATGTAGATGCTTTTAGCATCGATCCATTTCTAAATAACAAGAGAGCAAGCAGCGCAAGTCTTCTGAATTACATTTTGGTTGATACACAGGGTGTATCAAAATTACGCACACACTGTTTAATCGTTAATATCCCTTCAATGTTTCTTGGCAACCTTAAGGACCATTTTGTAGAGATGGTTAGATTCATAGTCTGAAGCGTGTCACCCATCTTTTTCTACAGATCACGATGGGGAAAATGAAGAGAGTTTTGGGAAAGCGAGATAATATACTTCCAGAGAAAAGAAAGCAAAGAAGCTAGAAAAACTTTATGCTTGGTTAATTAGAGTCGGTGGTTACTATGTTAGATTTGTACTCGAACAATTCTTCTTTCATAAGGAATGCTATGCTAAGTATACTGTAACAATGGTTTTCATTTTTCAATAAAATAAACCTCAAAAGTTTGAGAGATAGATAGAAACAGAGTCTCTATAATTCTCATAAGTGTCGTATGTAATTGACTATGACTTTCCAAATCTATTTTTAACATGTCGGCTCTACATAACGGCATAACGGTCGATAAAGGACTTTGTAGAAAGAACATAGTATGATCAAAAAGTGTGCATTCTTTTGGGACACCGTGTCCACAATTGCAGTATAAATAATCCTTCAGCTGAGGAAGTCAGGTAATTTAATTATTTATTTATTTGATGCGCTCTTAGGCGCGCCATTTATTTATTTATTTATTTATTGCACCAAAAGTGCGCCATCGACTACAAAAATCTGGACAATAGTCATGGCGAGTAAAAACGAACTCAGATAAAAGTATCATTCAAAGAAAAAAAAGTTCTTAGTCTTGATACTACCAAACTAACATGAAAGGAAATGAAATTATAGCATCCAAACTTGGCCGCTGTATTACCTATTCAAAAAGCTCATTTGAATAGTGAGCAGAATTTGAGTTGGATTAACAGCGCCAGAGGTAGTTTTCATATTTACCTGTACTTAAGCGACCAGATTTGAAGAAAAAAAACTTTAGGGTGAGACCAAGGCGAATGGGCTAAACCATGCGTGCCTAGGTTAATTTGTTAGTGAATAGCAACATACAACGTCAATAAAGTTAGTATGACATCAGGAAGAAAAAAAAACAGAAAAAAACATGAAAAGGCGTTTGATAATCTCGGAATGAACAAAAAATACGGCGATGGAGAATTTCGATCAGCGCTGGTCGAAGAACAAGACTCGACTCGATGAATCGTTGTCTCCAAATTAACAACAGAGCTGGCAAGAATCAAGGTAGAAGGGAACGATCAGAAGACTCAACCTAAACATCAGCTATATGCAAATGTTCCAGTACATTGATAGAGCCTAATTTCTTACGAAAAGAGGATGCGTTTTTACTAGAAATAATTTCCTTAGGTAAAAGGCTTAACCATCTTGTGGTTCGGCAGAAATATGAATTGAAGGTTCCTATAATGCAAATTAAACTCAAATGTACGCTCTCCACTAGGCCTAAAGATCCAGTATTTACTGGCTCGTAATTTCGTTTCTAATTTTACCATACGAAAACAGAACACTAAGTCGCTAACAACACGTCTATACTTCAAACTACGCAGCTTTAAAACTGCAAGTCAAGCACCGTAGGACGGTAATGTGCGGGGGTATTGAGGGTCAGAGAAACATCTGTAAAAAACTATCCTTGTAAAAATTTTTTGAACTTTTTCGAGCTTCAACACATGCTTTTTTAAATAAGGACTCCAAACAGGTGAAGCATAATCTAAATGAGGCAAGACATATATTTTGTATAAATGCACGAAAAGTCCAGGTTCATTTCCGCGATGCTACGTAGAAGCATAAACAGTGCTGCCAGCGACTTGGTGACGACTGAATCATAGTGTGCAGTAAAAGTGAGAGCATCATCAACAAAAACGCCCAAATCTTTCACGACGTTTCGATACTCAAGCTCAGTACCACCGCAGATAAATGACTTGAGGTGAGTACCTGGTGTCGCCTAAGTGCATGATGAAGCATTTTGAAAGATTCAAGGGCAGATCCCATATCTCAGACCATAAATTCACTCTTTCCATGGAAGAAGAAAGGGCTTCGTAGGCTTCCTCCCTTTCCTCTTTTCCATAGCAAGCGTATATCTTAAGATCATCGGCAAAAATCTGCATATGTATTTTTGGGTCGGTTTTGATGAATGAGGGTAGGTCGGCTGTATAAAGTAAAAACAAAAGTGGTGAGAGGATTCCTCCCTGCGGAACACCACTGCTGCACATACTTTTCTGAATACATGTTTTTAACGCGCACGGTCATTCTACGTTCACTGAGATAGGATTCCAGCCATTTCAGCAGCTGACCACGGATATCTGCGCTTTCTAGTTTCAGCAAAAGTTTTTTGATTAACTCTGTCAAAGGCTTTTGATAAATCAAAGTAAATGATGTCCACACATTTCTGGTGGTTCAGCGCTGTCATCCAATCGAAAACAGAATCGCAAAGTAGCGCGGTGGTTGATCCCCCAGGCAGGAATCCATGCTGTTCTTGTGGTATGATGTGATTTTTCTGCAGCCAGTCACTCAGTTTATCATTAATGATTTTCTCTAATATTTTACCACAAGGCGGAGTAGTGCTTATAGGACGAAAATTGGCCAACTTGTTGCTAGATGAGTTTCTTGGAATTGCGGCAACAAGAGCCTCCTTCCACAGTTGGGGAACTTGGCCCATTAAAAGAGATGCATTATATATACATGACAGAGGAAAGCAGAGAGCTCGGGCACATTTCTTGTACACAATCTGAGGAATTCCATCATACAAAATAGTTGTTGATAATTTCAACCTAGACAGAATCTCAAAAAGATGGTTGGGATGAATCACTATGTCACTGCATCTAGCAGAGATTCGTGGAAATGATGAAGATGGAAACCAAGATCATCCCCATTCTCATCACCTCCACCTCCATTTGCAAAGATAGAGGCAAAAAATCGTCCCAATGCTTCAGCTTTCTCTTCGTCCTTCATGAGAAGTCTGTTGTCTCATCCAATAAGGATGGGAGCTTTTGCTGCCCTTTGCTATTTGTTTTAGATATTGGTAAAGTTTTTTGAAGTCAGATCTAGCAAAACATCTTTCCCGATTGGCCAGAAATCTCCTGATGTGATGACTTATATCCGAACAGACTTTTCTGTACAGATCATTTGTGAGAGGATCATGCATAGTAACAAAAAGCCTGCATTTTTTGTTGCAGTAGATTGGTAATATGTTTGGGGTAATGGCGAATGTGTGAGGTGCTATAGCGAAAAGGTACAAAGTTCGCTAGAGCACTGAATATCTGATTACAAAAACGTTTGCATAAATCATCAATCGTCACACAATCATAAAAGATTGTTGGCCAATCTATAAAGGAAAGACTCCTGTCCATGGCCGCATAGTTCGTACTGGAATAGTCAGGGTAAGGGAGAAATATTGATTTATAAACATTGAAGTGGACTTGGAATGTAATCACATTGTGATATGAATTGCCAAAAGGAGGATCAATGTGAACATCTTCGATGACGTCATCGGTTGAGAAGATCAAATCAAGAATGGAATTTTCTCTTGTAGCATTTGTAACGCTTTGTTTAGGGGCGCAATAACTCAAAGACGACAAAAGTTTTTTATCGCGAATGCGACAAAAGTTTTTTTTTATCGCGAGTGCTTTTATTGACTGCGCAAAAGTCTACGTTGAAATCGCCCAGTATGATCGTGGGCAGTGGCCGAGAACTCAAGTCATAAATAGCATCAGCCAACATTCTGTCATCACCAGCACTAGAGGAGGGCGGACGATATACTAGAATGAATCGAAAAGAAGAACTTGAAAAAAGTGAGTAGATATCCAAGCACAACAAGTCGGAAGTCATTTCATTGTTGAAGGAAACACATTCGACAAAAAGGTTATCTTTGACAAGACAACATACGCCTCCCCCTCTATTGGTAATGGTGATTGTGTTTGTGCTAGCAGTGTTAGCGCAATTCTTCACCCTCAAGTTCTTGCTTTCCTGTAATTATCGTCGTCCTGGACGGTTTAGTGCAGGTAACAGTCACTGGGCTTATCATTCCTTAAAAAATCTGCAGGAGACCCTATTGAGACTCTCCATTCTTGATCGCATACCTAGGACTGTTTCTGAGGTGGTTTATCTATCCTGTCGTCATAAACGTTATATCTTCGTCGCGTGGTTTTACCATATCATTATGGACTCTTGGAAGGGATTGGATTGAGCGCGATACGATGGAATTTTGTGCACCTCCAACTAGCTTTCGATTACCTGATTCGCTAGATGAATTTCGAAAGTCTCCACTTTTGATAGTCATTATATACGCGAACGCATTGAATGCTGAAAATTTTCCTTGAAATCTCAAAAGTCGATCTCTAAACACTATCCGGCGGTGCCTTGTGCGCGCTCATGCAGCGCAAAGCCTCATACCCAAAGTGGGAGACGAGATTGTGATGGCATACTGTGGGCCTCCACGCTAGGCGAACCCCCCAAGTTGCGCCGCAAAAGATTACTTCAGGAGCGAGAGATCCGCTTCGGAAGGAGCAAATCTGAAGCTGGCCACTCCACCCAGCTTACCTCCACCCCCCCCCCCCCCCACTTTGCAGGCTTTCCCTCGTCTGCGCTTGTTGCAGCGGGTTCTCCAAAACGAGGTTTTTGGGAGTTTCGCGGGTCTTCGACGTATTCGAAATCAGACCTTCAGAAGTCTGAAAGCGACAAAACATGCAAGTCGGAATTTGGATGATGGTGCCTATAAAAGCAGTGCCCGGGCAAAAACTCGGTTTTGAGATTTTGTGCTTACTTGGGCCTATTCGCTACGCTGAATCCGAAAATGCA